CCAACCAGATTCTTTTCTTTTCTCTATTTCTCTTAAATTAGAAAAATTCAAGCAAAATTATAATTTACAGTGGAAAGTAGCAAGTAGTTTTTTTGGTTGTTGTTTCTGAATACTCAAATTCAACATGGACCCTCAAATCATAAAGAAATTTCTCACTGAAGATTACTTTTGAGGCTGTGTCAATTGCTAAGTTAATGGTCATTGTCACGCTTTAAAACTTGAGAAATAGAAGTTCTTTGCATTTTATTGACTACTTCTATTTGCTATTTATAGTTTTTCTTTGCACTCCATTTTCCCACAGCACACTGAAAAGATGTACTTTCTGTGGCCAAAAATGGAGTGCATTTACACTTAATGCTATTCCTTTAACACTGAACTGTGCCCAGCATGTGTGTTTCAACTACCAGCTATTTTCTGTGAATAAAGCAGTGGTAGATCTGCAGTTAAGGGATATTCTAATTGTTTAGCGAGGCTCTTCCTTGCTCTACAGATTCTCTCAGAACTGATTCCAGCACATGTTTTCAAGTCTCTATCATAGTTTACAAAATAATCATTAAATAGGAAAAAAAATCATATTTCGTAGTATGGGTTTTTTAGTGATAAACACATAAAAAAGTTGGCTGCCATCTTTTGCTGTGTGTATCGCACATAAACCAAGAGCTGATTTCGATTCATCACATGAGTGCATTTACCTACCAGTAAAGTAAAATATTTGCTGTGTACAAATATGACAGTAATTACTCTTTTACCTTATATGCCTTTTCAGTTCTGTGATGTCCCAAGGTGTCACATAGTAAATACATTTTGGAAATTTTTCGGTCCGTTCTCTCTTCCAGCATAATGTTTATCATCTGTGTGGCTAGCTTTACAAGTCTCTCAGCAACAGTTTATCTTTCTTATACGCTTTTCCTATGAGGAGCACAGAATCTGAATGGTGCCTCTAGTTTATGTCACTTCTGTTTTAGGAACAAAAATCTTCAGTTTCATATAAGAAAGCATAATGTGATTGTTCTAGAAAAGTTCTACTGGTTTACGAAAAAGTCTTCACATTTTGTTTGAGTGTCATAAAAGTTTCAAAGTGGACAACATTCAGAAGAATATAAGGTGAATGAATTGCGAGTCTAAAAAAAAGTCCAGTTTTTAGATGGTCACTGTTGTATGACTTAGTAATATTTTCTTTATGGGTTTGTGTGGTATCATCACACCCACAGATTTGTAGTCAGATTGCATTAGAGTCTTGCTCTTGATTCAGGCTTAGCATTCATTCTGAGTTTTGTTACTATTTTTATTAGTACCTTAAGCCTTAGGAAACCAATTTTGAGCCATTTATTTTTTGGACTGGAGACATAATGTAACAATGCAAAAAATGCAAATTCAATAGATATAAACAATAATATTCAAATGACACGAAAATACTTTACCTAGGATGATTTGTAGTCATGCAGAATAATGCAGGCCTTAGGGCACCTGCCTCGGTTTTCAATATGCATGGTTGGGAATTCCCTGGTGGTCCGGTGGTTAGGACTCTGCACTTCCAGTGCAGGGAGCATGGGTTCGATCCCTGGTCAGGAAGCTAAGATGCAACAAGCCGCTTGGCCAAAAGTTTTTTAAAAAATAAAAGATAAAAACAAAATATAATTGTTAAGATGACATTTCTGTGGAAATCAGAATTAATCTTGCAGTTCACAATGTTGAAATATATGTAAACTAAATTGGTTCTCCCCCCCGCCCCAAATATTCCAGACTGCTGAGGAACAACTAGTGATTCACAGATTTGATTAATAATGGCTAATACTCTATTACTGTTTCTTAGTTTAAAATTTTATCTATGTGCTAATATTATAGAGGTATTGAGCAATATTTTCATTAAGGATTTTGCTCCTTCGGAAATCGTGCACTCTATCTACCCTTTATCATTAGTTCTACTGTCCGGGATCATTCCTATCAAGTAGAAACAAGCTCTAGAACCTACCATTTTAACAACAAAAGTATTATTCCCACATTCTTTCCTGGCTATTGCTCCATTTCATTCTTGCCATGTATAGCACAATTCCTCAAGAGTTTACTCTAGTCACTGCCTCTACTTCTTTACCAGTTTAGACACTAAGGACAAAAAACACTATCGACCCACCATTATCTTTGAACATTACCAGTAACTTTGAAGTTCCCTGTATGGCACTCCCAGATCCAGTTTTCTTCTCCCCTAGAAATAACCATCCAGAATTTCTTCATAGTTTCCTGTATGTTTATATTTCTAAAAAGTATATTTCAATGAATATTTTATTTTATATTGCATGTAATTATACTGTATGTATCCTCTTGTGACTTTCCTCATTCAACATTATGTTTTTAAGATTCATTCATATAGGTTGTAGCTATCCTTCATTCATTTTCACTATTGTATTCCACTGCATGAATGTACCAAAATTTCCCCATTCTGTTATTGATGGACATTTGGGTCGTTTTTAGTTTTCTTGCTGCCCCAAACAGTGCAGCTCTGTGCAACCATGTTCTTGTCTCCTGGCATCAAACTATATAGAAAAGGATCAAGCTTTGGGGTTTTTGCCCCAATCTGCTTTTGTAAAATATACTAAAATCAACTCAACAATATCAAATTGATATAAAAATTTCTAAACATTTACTCTTCATTTCTGTACTTTCTTATTGTGGACCACACCTTGAATAACACTGCTGTAAGATGTACCTAGCTGCAGCTGTATGATTCCTGGATTATACATCTTCTATTACTTATGCAGAAAATTTTGTTTTCTCAAAATCGCTAATATTCTAGTTGTCCAATTTATACAGAAGGCAGTCTACCAGCGATTTGTGGCTTTCACTGTATCTCTTTTCAGTTCCTAATATGCAGGGGATTTCAGACTAAGACCTGCTGCCTTTTGGCAAATGTATTTTTGATCGCAGAGAAAGTGACTATAAATAAGGTTGATCTACTGCTTAAGAGTTTATTCAAAGCCAGAGTAGCAAGTGGGAGGCAAGGAAGACTCAGTGTTAAGAAACCCTCCTAATGAAAGTACGCTGGAGTTAGCAAGAAATCAAATTCTACTCAGACTAATGATTAGGAGAAATGAGGTGTAGGTGTGTCACCGTTTGATGGTATCATTTGTAGAAGAAATGTGGAGGTATGGATTGGATGATAGTATGTTAGGCAAGTATGCAGACTCAGACGCAAATCTCATAGGTAATCTTTAGTGATCCATCCCGAGGTTCTGTTTTCACTCCTGTTCATTCTGTACTTTTTAAAGTGAACTTAAGAAAACATCAGATTTACAAATGTCATGATGATGGGAAGAATGGTGAATAGGCTAGTCGACATTCCACTCTCCAAAGAAACTTGGACAGGCTGAAATCAGGACTGAAGTAAAGTACTGCAGTTGGGACTAAAAAGCCAGTTGTGTAAGAATAGCATGCAGAAAATGGAGCGTGTATATCAAGTATAAAAGAAATTTAGGGATTTTAGGTTATTTTAATCTTAATGTGAATGTTCTTAGGAAGTTATTAATGTCTTAAACTGCATTGATTAATGTCTCTAGAATCTAGAGTTTATGCTGGTTAAATCAAAACCTGAAATAATTATATGAGGACCACACTTAGGGCCATATAAAATACTGCGTAAATTTGATGAGTCTACTAATATATATTATGTACTTTGCATGTAGCTGTACCATAGCCATTTTGCAGGTACTGGTCCGTGAATTTTGTAAGTGGTCTGGATTTTCTTTGGGAAGAGATAGGTTTCTCTTTCCTGGCAAGAGATGACCTTCTGCAAGGATGGTGATAATGACAATTGACAATTTTTAAAAGGGGTCAGCAAGCTATAGCCCACTGACCAAATCCTGCCAGGAACATGTTTTTGTATGGCCACTGAGCTAAGAATGTTTTTTTGTTTTGTTTTGTTTTGCATGTCAAAGGGTTGTAAAACAAAAACAAAAACCAAAGAATATGCCATGGAAGACCTTATGTGGCTTGCAAAGCCTAAAATATTTACTATTTGTACCTTTACAGAAAAAAAATCTGCCAACTCCTTATTTAAATATCGGACCAATGAAAGAGTAGATAACATTTTATGATCTTTTGCAATCAGAATCCTTACGACCGAGGACAAGAAACAACACAAATATTTCAGTACATAGAAATTGTGATTGTATTACAAATTAACTAGGCTTATGTTCGATACTAGGGTTCAAAGCCATGTAGAAAATCACAATTATAATCAATTATTTAGGCAAAAGGAGGAGACCTATTTATTACTTAAGTAAAACTTAAAAGAAATTTAGGATTAATGGTAGGTAGCAGTTATAGCTTGCCAAATTTAAGCTAATTTTATCTTCTAGAGCAGTGACTATTAGATGGAGAAGTAACCACACGGCCTGCTAGGAAGAGAAGGGCAGGAAAAAACTAGTCTGGTACTAAGAAGTTACCATTGAGAATCTATAAAGGAGAAAAACAGGAAAACTAATTATCTGTGAATCAAAAGGGTCGTGTGTAGCTTTTTATAAATCCATTCCTTTATGCTTAACCTAAACCAAGGGCAAGCTTTTTAGTGCTTTTGACAGAAGTGCCTTATTGGTAAGGAAATAGCACCACCTACTGTCACTGGTTTAAAATGACAAATTATGAGCCTTTGGAGAGGGTAGGGAGGGGAAGAACGGCGATTTGTCATTTTTCTTGTATTTTTAGTGAATGGATCTGCTTCTGGATTGATATTTTCAGTTCTGTGGTAATAGATATTTTGAATCTATATTTTGAATATAGATTAGTTTAGTGACTTTATCCTGACTCTTTTGATTTCTCAATCACAGATTGTGTAATTAATAAAATATTCCATCTAGAGATATTTTTTATTCTAATCTTCCCAATTCCTCTCCCAAACTTTAAGGTATTTTAGGTATTTGTAATTGAAGATGCACCATTTTGTCTTTACATATATTTATTTATTTATGATTTGTAACTAAGTGAACTCTTTTTTTTTCCCCCCCCAGATGATTCTTTGGGATTGGGACTTAAAGCAGTGGTATAAACCTCACTATCAGGTAAATATAAGTGATATCACTAATAATTAATATCTGTAATCAAATTTTTGACATAGAAATCTTCTGAATGTAACTTTAATTTATATGCCGTAAGATTTTTCTTTAGCTGAACTAAAATAACCAGAACTTCATTTAGGTAGTTTTTTAAAAATGTATTTTAATTGTAAGGGAAAAGAAAGTAAGAAACCAAACATATAAATAGTTATTTTTAAAATGTTGCTAATATAATCTGGGCTCATCTATATTAAATATGAGGCTCTTTTCCCCCAGTTCACTCCACCTAGAGTTACTGATAAATGTACAGAAAATTGCACAGCTCAATGAATTTTCAAAAATTAAACATTCCATATAACTAGTACCCATAACAAGAAATAGAACATTACCAGCATCCCACAAGCCTCACTTGTGTGCCATTCTAGTCATTACCTATGTTTCCAAAGAAAATCCCTATCCAGACTTCTAGCAATTAGTTTTCTTTATTTATGAACTTTATATATATGGAATAATACAAAATGTACTTTTTAAAGATTTTTTAATAACTTTATATTGTTATCAGTAGAATTAAAAATAGAAGTATAGGAGAAAAAAGGAAAATCATTCAAACATCAAGGAATAACTGTTAACTTTGTTAACTTTTGATATATATCTTTATAGATCTTTTCCTAGTTTTCCATTGTATTGAAACGTATGGTTTATATAATTCTAGTCTACAAAGATTGTAATATTATGTTTCATATGCTTTTGAAACCTGATGTTTTTCACACTAATAGATAAACATTAATAAAAATCAAATCTTTGTCATTTGTATTTACAGACATATTAATTCTATTGTCCCAACATAAAATTTTGCAAAATGAACACCCCTTTGAATGGTTGATTCTTATTTTTAAACTTTAAATGGAATAGCCACAACAGCCCATTAAGAAAAAACTATTCTCTGGTGTAACTGTTACAGTCAGATGATGTGAGGAAGGCCACATCTGACCTACAAGGGGCTGGGGTTTCTTGACCTAAATAGTGGCCTTTTTCATCAGTCATATTCACCAAGATCCTCAGTTTCCAATTAAAACAGTATCTACCTAAATTACTGGTAAAATCTAAAGATAAGTAAGCAGTAATGGTTGAGAGCATGGGCTTGTGGACACACAGACTTTTATTTCTCTCTTCTCCTACCCCTCTTTCTTTCCCTAATAATCCTTTTTTAAAAATCAAAGTATAGGGAATTCCCTGGTGGTCCAGTGGTTAGGACTCGGCACTTTCATTGCGATGGGCCTGGGTTTGATCCCTGGCCAGGGAACTAAGATCCCGCAAGCTGCACTGAATGGCCAAAAAAAAAAAAAAAAAAAAAAAAATTGAAGTGTAACGCTCATATATAAAGGTGCACAGGTCATAACTGTATAACTTGATGAATTTTCTCAGCGTGAATATATACATGTGACCATTTTTCAGATGATGAATTCAGCACACCAAAAGCCCCCTGTGCTCCCCACCTAGTCATCAACTTCTCCCAAGCATCCTTTCAAACCTGATTTCTGTCATCACAACTTAGTTTTTCTTGTCTTTTTCTGAATTGTATATAAATGGAATCACTCATATGTATTTTCTGTCTTGCTTCTTTCAAAATTTATCTGAGATTAATTCATGTTATTATACATAGTAGTAATTCATCCATTCTCATTCTATTTAGTGTTTCATTGAATGAATATACAGTTAATTCATCCATTCTATAGCAGATTGACATTTGTTTTATTTTTCAGTTTTTTGTCTATTGCAAGTTATGCTGCTGAAACATTCTTGATGTCTTTTGTTGGATATATACATTAGAGTGCATTGCTGGGTCATAGGGTATACATGTGTATGTTCAGTTTTAGTAGGAGGCACCAGATAATTTTCCAAAGAGGTTGTATTACTTTTACCCAACCATCAGCAGTATATGGATGTTTCAGTTGCTCTACATCCTTGCCAACACTTGGTAGTGTCTGTTTTAAATCATTCTGGTAGCTGTTGAAGGATATCCATTGTGGTTTTAGTATTTGTATTTCATTGATGGCTCATCAAGCTGAGAATCTTTTTATGTTCATTTGCTACTCAGATATCCTCTGGTAAAGATCTTTTCCCCATGTTTTCCACTGATTATCTACTTTTTACTTAGTGATCAGTAGGAGTTCTTTATGTATTTTGGACATGAATATATATATTCATAAAAAAAAAAACCTTCTCCCTGTCTGTGGTTTATCATGGTGTCTTATTAAAAGTACTCCATCAATCACTTCCTTTTATGCCAACTTATCAATCATTTCCTTTTTGTCTAGTGATTTTTTTGTGTGTGTCCTATTTAAGAACACTTTGTCTACCTCCTGGGTTGTGTCTATCCTCTGGGTTGTGTCTACCCTCTTCTGTTACCTCCTAGCAGTTTTATTGTTTTACTTCTCATCTTTAGATCTGTAATGCATCTAGAATTGATTTTTCTGTATGGTGTGATTTATAGATCAAGACATTTTTTTCCCATATGGTTATCCAATTGACCCAGTTCCAGTTGTTGAACAAAATACACATTCTTTCTTCTTTGCACTGTATTATAACCTTTGTCATATAGCAAGTGACCATATGTAGATTTGTTTCAGGACTTTCTCTTCTGGTCTGTTTGTCAATTTGTCTCTCCTGAAACACTGATACCACACTCATTACTTTAATTACTGTAACTTTATAATAAGTCTTGACATCTGATAGTAAGTTCTCCAGCATTGTTCTTCTTCAAAGTTATCTTGACTATTCTTTAATAAACTTGAAAATTTCCACACACACAAAAAATACTGCTAGGATTTTGATTGAGACTATATTGACTCTATAAATCAGTATGAGGATAATTTACATCTCATAATACTGAGGCTTTCAATCCATAAAAATGGTATATTCCTTCACTGATCTGTATCATCTTTATCTTAATGTTTTTAGTGTAGGGGTCATGCATATTTTGTTAGATTTATTCCTAGATATTTAATTTTTTAAATTGCAAAACATATTGTAAACGGTATCAATTTTTAGAAGTTCCGTGTTTTTAATAGTTTGTGCTGCCTCATAGAAGTTCAGTTGATTTTTATATATTGATTCTTGTATCCAGTGTCCTTGCTAAATTTACTTATTAATTCTAATGTCTTGTCTGAGGATTCTTTTTTTTTTTTTTTTTTTTGCTGTACGCGGGCCTCTCACTGTTGTGGCCTCTCCTGTTGCAGAGCACAGGCTCCGGACGCACAGGCGCAGCGGCCATGGCTCATGGGCCCAGCCGCTCTGTGGCATGTGGGATTTTCCCGGACCGGGGTATGAACCCGTGTCCCCTGCATCGGCAGGCGGACTCTCAACCACTGCGCCACCAGGGAAGCCCTGAGGATTCTTTTAGAGTCTTTAGGGATATAATAACGTCATCAATGAATAAGGACAGGTTTATTAATTTATTTCCAATCCTTTGCCATTTTTCTTGCATAACTGTATGGTTTAGGATCTTTAATACAGTGTTGAATAGAATTGTTACTAGTAGGCAGCCTTGTCCTGTTCATGAACTCAGGGAGAAAATATTCAGTATGTTCACCACTAATGTTTTCTATAGATACCCTTTATCAGATTAAGAAAGTTCTATTCTAATCCCATTTTACTAAAAACTTTTTTCTTTTAAGTCATAAATGGGTGTAGAATTTTATCAGATGCTTTTTCTGCACCTATTGAGATGATCCCTGGATTTTCCCCCATTTATTCTATTGATGTGGTAAATTGTTTTATTTTTGTGCCTGTGTTGAAACATCCCTGGAATCCCAGAATAAAGCAAATTTGATCAAGAAGTATTTTCTTTTTAAAAATATGTATCAGGGACTTCCCTGATGGTGCAGTGGCTAAGAATCCGCCTGCCAATGCAGGGGACACGGGTTCGATCCCTGGTCCGGGAAGATCCCACATGCCGTGGAGCAACTAAGCCCAAGCACCACACCTACTGAGCCTGCACTCTAGAGCCCACATGCCGCAACTACTGGAGCCTGCGTGCTCTAGGGCCCGTGCTCCGCAACAAGAGAAGCCACCACAATGAGAAGCCCGTGCTCCGCAACGAAGAGTAGCCCCTGCGCGCCACAACTAAAGAAAGCCTGTGCACAGCAACGAAGACCCAACCCAGCCAAAAAAAATATACACACACACACACACACACACATCACTGGATTTTATTTATTAATATTTTGAATCTATGTCTACGTGAGAGAATTGGCCTATTATTCTTGTTTTTCATCATGTTTTTGGCATGTTTTTGGTATAAAGGTTATACTGGCCTCATAAAATAAGGTGGGAAATTACCTTTTTTTCTATTATCTAGAGGAGTCTGGTAAGATGGGTTTCATTTCTTCCTTTGGAAGAATACTCTGGTGATGCTATCTCAGTTTGGAGCTTTTCTTATGGGCAAGTTTTACATTATTAAGTTTCTTTAATAGTTTTAGGACTATTCAGGTTTTCTGTCTCTTCTTATAACAGTTTGGTTAGTGGTGTTTTTCTCGGAACTCCTTTTGTTTGGTTTTCTCCAGCATTGAGACTGCTGAAAACGATATTTTACTTTCAAAATAGAAATCTTTTTGAGGATTTCTGCTTGGTTTCTCCATCTCTTGGCCACTGTTTACAGATTGGCAAATATCTTCAGGGGAAAAGCAGCTCTGAATTCAGCCTTGCATCTTTGTTCTTCCCTTCTCTCTGGGATCTTGCTTGGCATTTAAAGCTCTCCCTGTCTTTATAACCCTAAATTCCAGTTTTGGTCTCCCAGCATAGAGCTGTTTCCTAGCCTCTTAACTGCTCTGCTTCTCGTCTTCTCTGCCCCATGTCAGCTATGAATCAGTAGCAAATTCTGTGAAAGGAAAAAGTAGCACAGAATGTTGGGTTCATTTTAATCTTTTCTCTTAACTCTAGATTCTTGTGTTTTCAAGCCCTGGCTGCTTGACTGTGTTCTGATGCCCTGAAATGGATGCTATTTCTATTTTATTTTGGCTTTTCTAGACCTATTGTTCTAGGCAGAAGAGTTGGTCTGATACAAACTAGTCCCTCCCAGCTAAAAAATTAGGCAAGCCTTTTAAGACACTTTGAACCTATTTCTTCATCTATAAATTGGGAGTAATACCAGTTTCCTCAGAGGGCTGATTAAAATAATAATATGTGCCTGGTACATAGTAGCACAGAAAAATATAAGCTGATATTATATTAATTTCAATAATAATAAATACTAAGCATCTCTGAAATTATAGTATAAGATACGAGTTAGCACATTTTTTCCTATAAAGGGCCATGTAACAAATGTTTTAGCATCTGAGGGACACACAGCCACCTTCTCCTCCCCCTCCTCCACTCCCACAGTAATTGTTAAAATGTAGTATTCTTGGCTCTGTGTACAAAAACAAGAGTTTGCCAAATATAAGCCAAATGGGAAATAAGAATTTAAGTTAAACTTTTAAAGTTATAGCAAATAATTTGAATATTCCATTCGATCTGACGTAAGTCAGATGATGTCAGTCTCTTGCTCACTATGCTCCTATCTCACCAAAAATAAAAGCTGAAGTCCTAATCATGGACTTCAAAGACCCTGCACAATATGGTCCCTTCCTTTACTCCCTTTTACTTCTCTGACCTCATCTTCTGCTTTCTCTTTCATTTACTCAGCTGCTGCTACACTGGCCTTGTTATTCCTCAAACAAGCCAGGCAGGCTTCTGCCTCTGCATCTTTGCAGGCGCTAGTCTGTGTGCCTGGAATGCTCTTTTCTCACACTTTTGTCAGGTCTTAACATCATAAGTACTGCCTTCTTTTTAATACCTTCCATCACTTCTTTTTTCCTTTTCTTGCTTTATTTCTCTTTGACCGCCTCAAAATCCATGACTCTCCATTGTCCATATTCCTTAGCCTGGAATCTGATGTTATCAAATATTGGTTCCAACATGCCTCTCCAACCTTATCTTCCACTGCTCTTAAAAAAAAAAAAAAAAAGTATATAAATATAGCCTATACTTAAAAAACTTTACGTTCCCTGTACATCACTATTTCACCACTTTTGTACCTTTATTTATGCTCTCTCCTTCTTGAAGAATGAGTTTCCCCCAAATAAATTTTGTTTGTTTTTATTGTAAAAAATTCTTTTCTCCTAATCTTTCTGAGTAAAATCCTACCAAATGAACAGCTCAGCTCAAATGCCACCCTTACCATGATGTGTCTGTTAATCACTCAGATTAAAGTTATCTATATATTCTTTGAACTCTGGTACCATTTTATCTGTATTTTTATCTCACCACTTTCCATAATAATAATATTTATTGCCCTTTACCTATATATTCTATACATTGCTTTATGTGTTCTGCATGTATCATCAGATTTAATTCTCCCTGATACTCTCTGCTAAGTACCAGTATAAGCTCTGGAAATAACGCAAGAGGCGAACAAAGGAGAACTCTGAAAAATGCAAAGAGGAGAAATTAGGGACCCCAGTAACAGAGGAACAACATAGTGTGACAGGGTGTCTTATAACTGTCACCCAACAGCAAATGTTGGGGTAATGCAGACTCCCAGCCTAACAACAGAACATGATGCAGGTAGGCTCTTCCTTTCCTTAAAATTGAATGAGAGTCTTGCCAACAACACCAAGGGGGAATTGATCAGGAACTCCATTGACGTTAAGTGGCCAGGGAAGTATGGTTATTCCCTACTAGGCATGAGACTCCCCTTCCCCAATGAGACAGAGGGTGGCCAGGTCTCCACAACATAGGTGCCTAGCCCAGAAAGTGCTCTCGGTCCTTGTGGCTTGGAGACTCCCTTCCCCGACCTAGAGGCACCAGATAGCCCAACCTGAGGAAGCTCCTCACCAACTCTCACCCGCAGCACCAGCAGAGACCAGTGGAAACCCTAGTGGCACCAGGAGAAAATCAAGCAGACGGAAAATACCACTGTGAATGCCCTGAGAATTAAATTTTCATTAGAATTACAGCCTGAAAAAGTAGACTAGGACTTGGTGCTAAATCTAAAGAGGAAGACCACCTCCTACTATAAAAGGTTTAAATAGGACCCAGAGTCTTCTAGCATAGTTACCAAAATGTTGATAAAATTTTGAAAATCACCTGTCATACCAAGAACCAGGAGAATCACAACTTAAATGAGAAAACACAGTCAATGATTAACACCAAGATGATCGGATTTGGAATTGTCTGACAAAGAATTTTAAAGCGGCCATCATAAAAACATCCTAACAAGCAATTACAAATTTTCTTGAAACAAATAAACAAAATAGAAAATCTTAGCAAAAAAACAGAAGTTACCAAAAAAAAAAAAAAAAGGGAAGTTATAGAACTGAAAAATGCAATAAAGGAAATAAAAAACTTGTAAAATGGTCTCAGTACAGTGGTGATGATTGATAGAGCATAGAATCTGTTGAGCTTGAGGATAGATCAGTAGAATTTACTCAATTTGAACAACATTGAGAAAATAAATGGAAACAAAAGGAGCCTTCAGGACCTGGTGGACAATAACAAAAGATCCAACGTTCATATCATCAGTGTCTGAGAAGGAGAGAGAGTAGGTTTGAAAAAGTATTTGAAGAAATAATGGCTGAAAACTTCCCAAATTTTGCAAAAGATGTAATTCTGCAAATTCAAGAAGCTGAGTGAATCCCAAATAGGATCAGTGCCCCCCGCCCCAAATCTACTCTGAGGTATGTCAATTAAACATTTGAAAACTAAAAGCAAAGAAACTATTTTGAAAGCAGCCAGAGAGAAATGATACACTGCATATAAGGGAACACCAACTCAAATGACAACAGATTTCTTATTTGGGTGAGGGAAAACAGATACTGTTATACACAATTTGTGGAGGTATAGGTTTGACCAACATATGCAAGGGTAGTTTTATAGTGATTTTGGTTTGGTTCATTTACTTTGGTTCAGTAGTTCAAGTTAGGGGAAGCTATCTGTCAGAAGTATGCTTAATATCTACAGTGACATATAGAGAGAGGTGTTTGCTTATCAAGACTAGAAATAGCTGGGCTATGGCCCAATAATGGAATACGTTTTAAGATAAAAGCTAATACAAAATAATACTTCACAAGGGAAAAGAAAAGAATTCCACAAAGAGCAAAGACATTACTAAGCTAATTGTTGGTCTAACTTTCATAACATTTCTCAATTTCAAAATGTGTTGAGGGTAATTAATAAACAGTGAACTCAATAAATACTTTGAATACTTACGAACACACCCAAATGTAAATTCAAGGCACAAGAAAACAAACAAAAGTAACATTTAATTCACTGTTCTGATTATCAGTGTACTTATTTCTGTGGGTAATTGAGTTGAACATAATATATATTTTCAAAAAGTAAAAATCATATCATATATATTCATCAATGAAATATTAATTTTAAATTTTAAAAAATGTATTTCCTATCCATTTTTAAGGGTCCAGCGTCCTGTTATTCCTTCCATATTAACTATTCAGTTCAGTGTTATCACTACCTCCTTTGAACTCTGACACCATTTTTTCTCCTTTTTAATCTCATCATTTTCTATAATATGGATAATAATAGTTTTATTTATTGCATTTTAAATATATGTACCATGCATTGCTTTATGTGCTTTACATAGCTTATCAGATTTAATTCTCATATCAGCCCTTAATGAGGTAGTTGTTATCCCCATTTTACAGTGAAGAAACTGAAAAGTTCAGATGTTGAATAACTTGCTCCAAGTCATGCAGTTAGGGCTAAAGTCTAGATTTCCAACTCAGATGTCTTTGCAACAAAGCCTTGTCACTATGCTAGACTGCCTCTTAAGTGAGGAGTAAATAAAAGAAATGCTGTATATGTTTGAAAGAAATTTTGACATAGAGGAAAGAGAATCATTAATAAATTAATAAAATGCCCAAACTATAGATTCTGAAAGAAACACAAATTTGGTTCCATACTAGTTATAAGGAAGTCATTAACGAATACCGTTAAATATGAGATACACTAATGAAAAATGTAGAAAAAAAATTAAAGTTCACAATATCTGTTATATCAGCATCAAAAATTTTAAAGTTAGAATCGTACCACTTGATATATCATTTATGCCAAGTCCAAATAAATGAAAATTAATATTTAATAGGATTCAAGTACTTAGTTATCGTTAGAGTTAAGTTTTTCTTAAATGTTAAATTTTCTGTGTAACACATATATAATTTTATGGGGTTTTTTTTTGTTTTTTTTTTTCTTTTCTAGAATTCTGGAGGTGGAAGTGGAGTTGATCTTTCGGTGCTAAATGAGGCTCGTAATATGGTGTCAGATCTTCTGGTTGACCCAACCCTTCCCCCGCAAGTCATTTCTTCCCTCCGGAGTATCAGTAGCTTGATGGGTGCTTTCTCTGGCTCCTGTAGGCCAAAGATTAATCCTCTCACACCATTTCCTGGATTTTATCACTGCTCTGAAATAGAGGACCCAGCCGACAAAGGAGATAGAAAACTTCACAAGGTCAAAATACAGTAATCAGCCAGCCCTGTTTATCACGTTTAATAATGTTTTTGAATTAAAACTGCTCCTTTAAATTTTGCATAAAATAGAATTTCTTTTTAAAGGGCCAGCTTCTTTTCCAGTACATTGAGTTGCTTGGGACTTCAGAGGTAGTCATAATCTCAAATAATTCTAAGCAAGTATTCAGTTTTTATTCTAAATAATATTGCTGTAATTAGCAGTTATAACTTCATTGGTAGCAACTATTTTTTTTATTATTGTTATTGTTTTTAAGAAGTAGAGAACAACAGGCAAATTTAATTTCAGGCTGTACAGCAAACTAGTATTCAAATTGTGTCATTATTCTATTTTATTCTTTAGAAACCAGAAATTGTTTTTAAACGAAGAAAAATGACCATTATAATATTCATTTTATGAAATTACACAGCATTATTTTAAACTGATTTTCACATTTTTTGGAACTGTGTCTCCTTACCTCCCGCCTACCCACTGGAGATTACTATAGCCCAATAGGCATTGACTTTTCCATCAGTAGATATGGGATTAATTTTTCTTTAAATATCACTGATTCAAAATAGGATTTCCTTTAGAAAATAATAAGTACTGTTCTAAATGGGTCTACATTATGTCTGTTCAGGTTGCTTTTAATTCTTTTATTTGACTATCAATACCTTTACCAGTAGCAGAGATCATAAAACTTTAAAAATAGAAATATTTTAGAGATTATTTTAACTACTTTATTCTACTAGCTAAAGAAACTGAGAGAAGATGAAATTCAAGCCAGTTAATTTTGTTCATTGTAATAGTGATCTAGAGCTTAGAAAAAGTTAAATATAGTTTTTGGAGAGACTTTGATCATCAGTTAATTCTGTTAATTCTCAGCATTATTGTATAGAAGTGTTGAAAAATTAAGCAAGCCCGATTAGGGCAAATTTTTGATAATTATTGTTCACAAATCTGGATCATAGGTAGTTATGTGATGCTTTTATTTTTAAAGTGTATCGAGTAGCACCTGCATTACACAAAACCCAATGGGAATTAAGTTATATGGCATTTTTTTTTTTTAGCACTCTACCTATGAGAAAGGTTAATCACAAGCAACAAAAAGGGCTAGCAATAAATTCATCAATAAAATAACTAATATATTCTTGAGTTAGTTTTCATTTGCTATGTTGTTCTTCCTTTGTATTTTCCATTGATATCTGATGTTTAGAATAGTAATTTTAAAAAATAATAATTCTTAAAAATCTTAGTGATAAAAATCACGCTGAGGGAATTCCCTGGTGGCCTTGTGGTTAGGATTTTGGGCTTTTACTGCTGTGGGTTCAATCCCTGGTCGGGGAACTGAGATCCCACAAGCCGCATGACGAGGCCAAAAAAAAAAAAAAAATCACATTGATATCAGTATTATGTTTGTTATTACGTTTACTATGTAGAAAAGTGTACTGTACATTTTAGAAACATTTAAACAATAATATTAATTAAATAGGATGCCTAATTCCTCATTTCCTGAACATTCTAGGTAATAAGGCTTATTTTGAGTACTAGAATTTACTGATAGGAATAAGTCATATAAGAACCAGGAAGTAACCCTTATTTCTTTTCTTTGTGTTCTTTAAAATTTCTTATTTGAATTTCTTATCTAATTTATCTCTGCTTTGGAAAAGAATATAAAAAGCCTGATGTTACTTCAGAAAAGAGCAAGAGCATTTATGAAAAAATAATTAGTAAGGAAAAGGGAGTTAGAACAGATAATTTAATGTAAGTGTCTTATACGTGTATTAAGAACTAAGAAAGATTGTATGGACCTAAATTATAGTCAGAAAGGATGTTACATAAACAACTTTTTCAATGTAAATATAACTAACATTGAACCTTTAAAAAATCAACATCCTTGGGAAAACTTAAATATAAATGGTATTTATCTCTTTGAGATGGTTTTGTGTCTGCTGATAGGGGAAATTTATAAGAAGCAGAAACTGTTTAATGTCAATTTCACTAAAACACCTATTCACAATGGTCAAAAATGGAATATTCTGGTTAACATTTGGATTAACGGAGAATATTTTCAAAAATTAGGGTAAAATATTCTTAATGTGAAAGGTGTTCTGAATTTAATTGTCATTAATTCAAAAGGTAGCTCAGAATTCTGCAGTTTAACCTCTATCTATGTACATTAGCATTGTACTGAAAATATATTAGGAAATAGGGATCACTCCTGATCCTAAGCTTGCCCTCTGAAGTCTTTTTTCAGGGTAAATCTTTCATATCTACTTTTAAAATTGTCAGTTGCATATTTCTCATAAAACTAGGAATAAAATGTACAAAAGAAAAAAAATTTGGTTAAACTATAGGGAGTTCAGAAATCATTTTTTAGTTGGAGGAAGATAAATAGAACAATATAGAATGTTATGTTTGGAGTAAAATTGACAGATTTTCAGAATAAAATATTTTGTTTCTCCTATACATGCTAAAAATGTATGGTTGATCCTTAAATGACATGGGTTTGCACTGTGTGGGTCCACTCAGACCCGTATCTTTTTCAATAGTAAATACTACAGTTCTACACCATCTGCAGTTGGTTGGATCCGCGGATGCGGAATCCGGATATGGAGGAAGCCTGCATAGGGAAGGCCCACTTGTATGTTATTTATGACACCCAGATTATTCGACTACACAGAGGATCAGTGCCCCTAACCCCCGAGTGGTTCAAGGGTCAGCTGTACTTTGTATTGATATTTCCATGGACCATCTTTTACGGCATATTGAAGGATAACGATTTTAATCATTGTTAAATTATCCAACAGGGGCTAAACAGTAGGAATAGTTTATCAACCCCACAGCTGAGAAGGAGCTCGGGAACCTCAGGTCTGCCACCTATCGACCAGACTTCTCCAAGGTGGGAACGCAATAATGGCAAAAGGGCTCACCAAGAATTTGGCATTTTAAGGTAAAATCCCCAGAGCCTTTTCAAGAAACCTGAATCTAATACATCAACTTTCTTTCTGTGAATGAAGTTTGAAATAGTTCTAAAAGCATAAAGGAACACTGGAAGTATTTTAGTATAGGATGGCTTTGTTTGTAACGTGGCCTGATAGAGAAACTGATTCTTAAAAAGAAGGTAATCTCCTTTCCCCCCAGATGGGTAAGTTGGGTACAAAGCATGCCGGAGCCTTAAGAACATGAATCAGGGAGGCAGTTTAAGGAAACAAGGATCAATTTAGGATGCAGTACTGGGAAACCCACGGTAGAGGTGGCCATATTAGGGGCAGTCACCAGGCCCCTGCGTAGTATTCAGAGGTTGGTCAACAGTTTCTGACTTGTGAAAGGAGGAGCATCCCCAAGGTTCACCGCAGATGTTACCTCAGACGTGAGATGTAAGGTAACAGGACACTTTTAAGCCCTCTTCCTGCTGGGGAACTAAAACTACTAATATATTGTATATTCTGTTGAGTATTTACTTGGAACTAAACAGTGCTAATCCTACAAAGGAGAGGTGTCAGTAACTGCAACCAAGTGAGTGAGGCTGGGAGATTGCAGGAGCTGAGATCTTCTGAATGTATATATATCCACTTACTCTGATAACAAAGGATTCAATACTTTGCCTTTTAAAGGCCAGGAAAGATATTGATATCTTGTGTGAGTTATAAGCTTCTATTTAGTCAATTATCTAACCATGTTGATAAAATTGGAACCAGTGTAAATTTCCTGTTAAACCACTTTGTTAGGACTGAGCATGTGTTGTGTTGATACTTTAACTTGACCTGTGTAGTTACACATTTGAAACAGTAGGTGGCAGTGTTGGACCAGAGCTATTTATCTGTTAAACTTTATATGAACATTTTATATATGAAATATGGTCAGATCATTGTAATTTTCCAGATGCTTGTGTGGTTTATTAATTTGAATCTTATACAGTACATTCAAGTAGATGAACTCCATTTTTATGAAAGAAAAATTGAGTGAAATGATTTATAAAATAGGAATGGATTCAAGTATGAAGAGAATATCAGAGGAAAATGAGCTTTGGTCCAAAGCTAGCCCAGAGCCTAAACAGGATAATGGTTTTTGTTGCTGTCGTTGTTGTTGTTTTGTTAACGGAAGCAGGATATGACGAAGTGAATGACGTTAGGAACTGAAAATATGACAGGTATTTCTTAACCCTGGGAAATATCTTGAGAATACTTTTGAGTTTAAGAAAGAATGATGAAAATGATTCTGTTTTTTCATCTTTCCATCACATTGATATAACAGCAATGCATTTAAGACAAAAGAAACGTTTGATGCACTGAGTTAAGGTTATTTTTATACTCCTGCCTCACACGATTGATAATAAAATAGAAACATGGTCCAAGGAAAACTAATCTTTATACGAACATATCTCAGAGTTAAAGGTAAGTATAGGCAGATTCCATATATTTACTTAACACTCATTAAAACAAAATCATATGCCTCATAAAAGATTTAGAACTTTGAAGAATACAGTAATTGGCCATATTAGGAAACATCTACTTTAAAGAGATGAGGTTAGAAGTAATCTTTCTAGTGTGCAGAAGCTGGAGCTTCTCAGTAATAAATTTCTAAGTATACTTTGAACGTAGGGTAAAGGGGAATATATGAAGCATTTACAACCACTCTTCCTTTTGAAATTTAAGTCTCTAGATCAGTGCCATCCAATAGAAATTTCTGTGATGACTGGAATTTTTGATAGCTGTACATGCAATTTGGTAGTCCCTAGCTACGTGTGGCTATTGAGAGCTTGAAATGTGTCTAGTATGACTAAGGAACTTAATTTAAATTTGATTTGATTTTAATTAATTAAAATACAAAGAGCCATATGCAACTATCATACAGACATAAATGGCAGGCATATTAGACATCATAGCTATAGATCATTAATGTATGGTGACATTTGGTTTGGGAACATTTACGCTTTAGTAGCACAAAACAAATAGGCTTGTAACTCTGTAATCATGAGGCATTCATTTTGAATTTATTAGAGTACTCCAGAATGGAGATCACATGTCCTAGTTTTGATACGAATGTAGCTCTGGATTCTGATCATAGCTTCTCTGACTATGATTTTAAATCACCCTATGATTTCAGCATGATTTAAATATTGAACCTCTTGCTCCCTGAAACTATGTCTGAAACCAAATTTCTCATCCCTCCAGCTGCTTTTCCCTCTGTTACTATTATTCTGTCCTCATTTCCTGGCACAGTGCTGCAGTCCTCTAGTTTTGTGGTTGCTTACAAAATTGATTTACCTAGAAAACTTGGTGTTATCTATACATCCTGTTACCTTACTCTATAGATAACAGTTGTCAAGTCTATCTCTAAACCTCTTTTCCTCTCTATTCCTTTTTTTCCTTTATCACTTTGCCTACACTATTTCATGCTTTCATTATTCTTTACGTGGGCTATTGAATTATCCTTCCATTTCTAATATCCTTCACTACCCAATCCATCTTCCACCCTTCCACCAGAAATCTTCCGTAAACAAAACTTTGATTATACAGTTTTTACTAATCATTAAGTTTTTGGACATTTATCAACACCCATAGAATACTGCCCAAATTCCTAGCCTGAGATTTAAAATTCTGTTACTCCCTCATGACAAAGTTGCACCCTTACTTGGAAAAATTAAGCAAACAGAGATGAGCAGTCTTGCAAAGAATAAGAGTAGAAAAATGATTTGGAGAGCTCTCTACGTGAAAGTAACAGGCATGTAACTTGTGTCAGACTCTTCCTTGAAGTTTTCTCATAATTTTGTTTTTAGTTTCAGTCCCTTTGAAAATTAAGCTGAATTATATTTTTCAGCTGCCTCATTTGTGTAAAGCGTAATATAGGACTTAAGTTTGGTTTCCTTTATGCTTTGCCTGGAGAAAAAAAGTGAAGTATTATAAACCTTATGTTAGGTATGATGAGAGGACTCCAAAGGAGGAAAACCACAAGGAAGAAGAATTAGTCCTACTTGAACGGCCACTGTATTACCTACTCTTAAGAGTTTACCACTGCTGAGGCTTCCCTGGTGGCGCAGTGGTTGAGAATCTGCCTGCTGATGCAGGGGACACGGGTTTGAGCCCTGGTCTGGGAACATCCCACATGCCGTGGAGCAACTAAGCCCGTGCACCACAACTACTGAGCCTGCACTCTAGGGCCTGCATGCCACAACTACTGAGCCCGCATGCCACAACTACTGAAGCCCACGCGCCTAGAGCCCGTGCTTTGCAACAAGAGAAGCCACTGCAATAAGAAGCCCATGCACCGCAATGAAGAGTGGCCCCTAGAGAGAGCCTGCATGCAGCAACAAAGACCCAATGCAGCCATAAATTAATTAATTAATTAAAAAAAAAGAGTTTACCACTGTTCACCTCTTAGAGGACTTGAGATTTTAATTAATTAAGAAGGCCATTACTTTATAACACCAAAATACCTCTCCGGTATCACCTTTATTTATCTGAAAATCCAGTCAAGCTTAACTGTTTGATATTCCCTCTGTTTGTGCACAGTTGTGCCCCTTTTTAGTTATTCCCTCTACCTAGAAGAGACCCTCTGACCCCTATTTCTGTATGTCTTTAAAGATTGAGCTCAGATGTCACAGTTTAAGAATAACACGCTGACATCCCCCTCCCTTGTTCTCCAAGTAAAAGTAATCTGTTTCGCCTCTGAATCTCTTTAACACCTTTTCTTTGCTCTTTTATGGCAATTTTCATTTTCTGCCTTGCATTAGTCATTACAACCCTTCTGAGACCTGCTTGACTACTGTAAAGAGTTTGGGATTACATTAAAATGGGTCTTTGAAGATAAACAGCTGCTTAACAAGTATCCTGCAGGGGTATGGTGTCCATATGACAGTTGATACTGCCATCTGCTTAAGTTTCAGACCTAGGATGAAGTTTTACTGGTCAGGAAATTCCAGGAAGAGTTGAAGAATGCTTTTCTGGGTTAGCTGACAATTGAATTACCCAAGTACAGTGTTAGTACCTAGGGTTAAAAGAATGGCTAAACTGCTATGCATGGAATGCCTGCTGGGACCCAGACCCTCCCCGTGGACAAACAATGTATTCAGAACTCACAGCTCATTTCCTTTGAACAGACTTTCCCTGGGAAATGTAGGCAAATTGCATACCAAAACTCTGAGGGCCATCAACTATAGGTACCCCTACACTAAAGAGGCTTGCCTTTAACCTATTCTGATTCATCGTTCATAGCCGTAAGTGCTCTGTAATTAAATCTAATAACTTGTTGCCTGGCAATAGTATGTCTTCTAAATAATGTACTTGGGAACCAGCTTCTCAATTATGTGTCTCATAATTTATTAGAGATTTATACCAATGCCTGGAACCTATTTGAACTGCAGAGATTCAAGAGGGCTAATGGTGTCATCCCACTCAGTTTTTAAGATAATGGCTCTGCAAATCTGGATGTTGGAGCCAGAAAGTTTTACAGCTACCTAAAAAAAAATAATAAATGAGGTGATACAAAACTTGTCAAGGTAATTTGCATTGATTGATTGTCTTAGAAATCAACTCTTAACATATGACTTAACTCTGTGACCATAACATTTGACATCTCTTGTAATGCTTGTGCACTTGGATTTGAAGACCGATTCCGAAGTCTGACTTTAATCACCTTCCTACCAACTATTAATAATCACTGGGACTCCTAGCCTATCTTGCCCTCTGCTTTCTTCAGTATTTTTTTTTTAACATCTTTATTGGAGTATAATTGCTTTACAATGGTGTGTTAGTTTCTGCTTTATAGCAAAGTGAATCAGTTATACACTCTTCAGTATTTTTTATGTAATCTCATTGCGGTATATATTTATCTGGTTATAGGCAGGGAATTAATGATTCTGGAACTGAGCTGAAAACCTGTCATTTGACCTCTCAATTCTAAACAGCTGTTTCAATGATTAGGCCCCCTGGATTAAGGTAGAAGACTATGGAGCAGTGCTTCGGGTCTCTTCTCTGAAGGAGAAAACCCTGTCTTTGTTTTGAATATTAATCAGGAAGTAGATGTTGGTAGAGTACACAGATTGTTCTATTTGAATATTGCCCTGGGTGGTATTGTCACTCTTCTTTCCCCATCTCTCCCACTCCGTAGGTAGGCAATGAATATTCAAATACAAAGAATGTTTGAGCATTGGTAGGGAGATGAGTTTATTGAGTGGTATTATTTACATATTGCCTCTTTTTGTAACATTGCCAACAAACTATTATTACTATTGAGCAAAAGATGTTATAGAATCTAAAGGCTAGATGTTCTCTTAGAAGTCCTTTATTCTAAATCTCTAATTTTACAGGTGGAAAAACACATACAAAGATAGCATCAGATATATCTGATGCTGAAAAATAGATTTTCCTTGAGTAAGGGGGTGTGGAAGTACAAAAAAGATGAAGGAGTTAGGGAAAATCTTGAGAACTCAGCCTATACTAACAAAATATTGAGTGGAAAATAGAGAATCTAGATTTGTCCTTGATCCTGTAGCAAAGTGCCCAATCAGGAATTGACTAACAGAAGAAAACAGGCTAGTGACTAAGAAAGGAAGTGCTATATGTATGGCATTGGGCCAAAAGCTTTAAAATATATAATCTTAAAATGCCTTTTATGTATCAGTTGGTATACTGTGACTGCTCACCTGTATGTAATTTCTTCATAAGAACCCTAAAACCTGTAATAAACATTTCAGTTCCAGGATATGATTGCGTCAGTGGGTAATCAATATCTGTGAAGAAGGGGAGACCTTCTTCACAGACCTTTTGAATCGGAAATCTTGGGGATGGGACTAGAAATCTGTGTAGTAAGAAGCCCTCCAGGTGATATTTATAACCTGCTTGAAGCCAGGGTTCAGCAAATTATAGCCTGTGGACCTAATGTGGCCCATACCTGTTTTTGTCAATAAAATTATATTGAAACAATACTCATTTGTTTATTATTGTTTATGGCTGTTTTTATACTGCAGTTGGCAGAGTTGAGTAATTGCAGAGACCTTATGGCCTGCAAAGCTCAAAGTGTTTACTACGTGGTTCTTTACAGTAAAAGTTTGCTGGCTGCTGCTTTACTCCTTAGGCACTAGATAGATGTCTAAACTAAATGTATAAGCAGATATTTGCTAATTGAATTGAAGACCATAAGGAAAAAAGGAATTTCTCATGTTTTTAAAAATCTTAACCTATTATCTTTCCCTTTTAGTCAAGGATGCTATCTAAATGGACCTTTTAGTTCAAATCCACTGACAATCCCGAAGCAAAGGTCATCTTCTGTATCGTTAACCCACCATATAGGTCTAAGAAGAGCTGGTAAGAAACCATTTTTGTGACTTAAATATGGGAGGCCTCAAAGTATATGGTAGTGCAAACCTTGTCATTACCTATTTATAGCTAATTTTGAATACCATTTCATGTGTTATAAGTTAACATAACTAAGCAGTTTGGGTTGGCTATTAAGAGTTTGCTCATTCATTTATTAATTTTTGAACAAGTACTATGTATCAGGCACTTCGTTAGGCACTAGTAATTCAGGGATAAAATATAGAACTATTTGACCTGGGTAGTTGTAGACAGAGAGCAAGGGAAAACCCCAGAAAGAGCATTCTTTTGTAGCATGATAATTGTGGAGGGAGAAAAAAAAAAATCTTAATATGAGAGTAGGAAAAAACCCTGACTATATCCTATATCCTATAATAAGTCATTCTAATAGAACTTTTATCCAATTACCTATCTATGGGGGGGGTGAATTGACATAACATTATATTAGTTTTAGGTATATAGGAAAATGATTTGATATTTGTATATGTTGTGAAATGATCACCATAAGTCAACATCTGTCACCACACATAGTTACAAATTTTTTTTTCTTGTGATGAGAACTTTTAAGATCTATTCTCTTAGCAACTTTCAAGTATGAAATACAGTATTATTATGCAATACAGTGTTATTAACTACAGTCACCAAAGACAATAGATTGGCATATTTAAAGTATTGCAAAACAAAACTTGCCAACCTGGAATTCTTTATCCAGTGAAAATATCCTTTAAAACTTAAGGTGAAATAACATTATTTTCATACAAACAAAAGCTGGTAGAATTTATTGCTAGTAAACTTGCACTGCTAAGATTCAGCAAAGGAAGTTCCTTAGGTAGGAGGAAAATGATCCAGATTGAAGCATGGATCTGCAGGAATGAATGAAAAGCACTGGTAAGCCTAAATGTGTGGGTACATAAGAGAATACTGATCATTAAAAACAATGACTCCCTTGTGGCCTGCATAGTGTATAAAGAAGTCAAGTATATGGTAACAGTGGCACAAAGGGTGGGAAAGGGGTAAATTGGACTTAAACTTACAGTGTACTGGCAGTGATTGAAAAGTACTAAAAAAGTTCTAATTTAAAAGAAACTAATACTTCAAAGATGCACATTGTAATATCCAGGGTGATAATTAAAAGAATAAAAGAAAAAGTATAAGTAAGAAGCTAATATAGGAGGTAAAATGGCATGATTTAAAAAAAAAAAAAACCTTGAATAATCTAAAATAATACAAGAAAAGAGGAAATAAGAAACAGAAACATAAAGAATAACTAAAAAAGAAATAGCAAGATGGAGGATTAAGCAAACTATATTAAATATACACCTAGCGTGGGTGGCTGGTGGGGAGCTGGGGGTGCCAGGGATCTGACCAGAGTTGCTGGAGTATATTATCTGAAATGTGCAGTTTTCCACAAAAAAGTTGAAAATACACTCCAGTTAATAGATACAGACTGTCAGACAATTAACACAAGACTCAAGTACATGCTCTTTACAAAAGGCACACTAAATATAAGGACACAGGTCTGATCTCATGGGTATAAAACACAAAACCAAAAATTAATTAATTAAAATAAAATACAGAAACCAAAAATTAATTAAAATAAAATACACAAACCAAAAATTGACAGAACTAAAGGGAGAGAAAGACAAATCTGTGTTCATTTTGGAGATTTTAACTCATCACTCTCATTATCTAGTAGAATAAGCAAACCAAAATATTAGTAATAGATAAATGGAAGATTAGGACAACATGATTTAACTGACTTGACCTAATCGACTATAAAACACCACACTCAGACATTACAAGATACATATTTTTTCCAAGGACACACACAAGATTGATCAAAATAGACCATTTGCTGAGCTATAAAACAAGTCTCAACAAGTTTCAAAGGATTAAAATCATATATAGCGATCAGCTTCCGGAATGGCAGAGAGAGGATCTCAGTAAACTTGTTCTTCTGCTAAAACAACAAAAATAGGGGCAAAAAACTAAACTCAGTCATTTCAGAATTCTGGAAGTTAACGAAAGCCAGAGAACTAGAAGTCATCTATACAAGAGAAACTACCTACTGAACCTTGGTGAGACAGTGGGGTTCTGCAACAGCTTAATTGGGGGCACTTCCCAAACCCTCTGTCTGCCCAGCTCAGTGACACTACAGCTAAAAGCCACTAGCTTTGCAGCCATTAGAGTCTTACCTCTTTAGAAACTGCATTAAAAGCAACAAGCTGATAGTACAGTAAACGTTTTGTTCAAGCCCCCTGGCAAACACTTCTACTCCCAGGGTGCTGTGGATATTTCATTTAACTCAGAGCTCAGCTCTCCAAAAACACAAACAAAAAACCCCTATACCCTATGCCAGGCAACATTGTGAGTGCCTAAGGCTGTGATTTCAGCTGGGGCGAACAAGAGCTGATTGGGAATTTAAAAGGAAATCCTGGACACTAGATGACCCTGGGGAAGTGGAAAGCTCTGGCAACAGAAGAGGATAGTTTTTTGTTTTTTGTTTTTTAACAAAAGGGGCCAGAACAACTGGATATCCAAGAAAAGAATTTGGACACTTATCCCACCACATATACTAGGCTGAGCACATGTTTATTAGGGCTGTGCACATGCCCAGGAAAGATCTGGGAAAGGTGAAGGCCCTGGTCACTCCATCTGTAGCTGACCTTGAGGTCCTGCACAAGCAGGAAGTAAAAGCTAAGGCTGTCTTGTAAACTGCCTGGAAGTTTGAAGTTGTATCTTTTCAAACAGACTCTCATCTACAGATGACATAGAGGCAAGACATTTAAAGTAATCTTCTGTCTCATCTAAATTACACTGACACAAGAATGGCTTCTAAGAAAGCAAGCGTAAATCAAGGAGAAAAGGGAAAAAAGGCAGCAGAGAACTCAGTGGCTACACACCTCAGAGAAAACAAAATCTACATAATGAGTCCAGGAAATCACTCAATGAATAATCAGAAACAAAAAACGAACAAACAAAAAACCAGCAGCGTAAACCTTGAGGGTGGGAGAGATCTGATATTAGAATTGTTACAACATATTATCTAAAATGTCCAGTTTTCAACAAAAAAACCATGAAGCATGCAAAGAAACAAGAAATTTTTCGCCAGGTAGACAATGAAAAACAGCCAACAGGGCTTCCCTGGTGGCGCAGTGGCTGAGAGTCCGCCTGCCGATGCAGGGGACACGGGTTCGTGCCCCGGTCTGGGAAGATCCCACATGCCGCGGAGCGGCTGGGCCCGTGAGCCATGGCCGCTGAGCCTGCGCGTCCGGAGCCTGTGCTCCGCAACGGGAGAGGCCACAACAGTGAGAGGCCCGCGAACCGCAAAAAAAAAAAACAAAACAAAAACAAACAAACAAAAAAAAAACAGCCAACAAAATTTCCCTGAGGAGGCTTGGATTTGGGATTTAGTAATGACTTTAAATCTGCTACCATAAATATGTTTAAAGAACTTGAGGAAACCATATCTAAAGTAAGGACAGTATGACAACAGTGTCTCACCACAGAAAGAATATAAAGAATTAGAAATTATAAAAATTATAAAATAATTTAAATAATTATAAAATAATTACCACTTCTACTCAATACTGGGTTGGAGGTTCTACTCAGGGAAGTTTAGGTAAAAATGAATAAAAGGAAGATGTAAAACTATTTTCAGACAACATAATCATACATTTATAAATCCTAAGAAATTCATTAAACCTATTACAACCAATAAACAAGTTCATCAGTGTGGCAGAATACAAGATCTATAATCGATAATCAATTGTATTTCTATATACTAGCAATGAACAATGCAAAACTGAAATTAAGAAAATAATTTCAGGACTTCCCTGGTGGCACAGTGGTTAAGAATCTGCCTGCCATTGCAGGGGACACGGGTTCAATCCCTGGTCCAGGAAGATCCCACATGTCGCAGAGCAACTGAGCCCGTGTGCCACAACTACTGAGCCTGTGCTCTAGAGCCTGTGAGCCACAACTACTGAGCCTGTGTGCTGCAACTACTGAAGTCCACGAGCCTAGAGCCCGTGCTCTGCAACAGAAGCCACCGCAGTGAGAAGCCCGTCCGCCCCAATGAAGAGTAGCCCCCCACTCGCCGCAGCTAGAGAAAACCCACACACAGCAACGAAGACCCAACGCAGCCAAAAATAAAATAAATACATTTATTAAAAAATACTTGGGAATAAATTTAACAAAGTAGTGCAAGACTTGTACACTGAAAACTATAAAATGTTGAAATTAAAGAAGACCCAGATTTTTTTTTTTTTTTTAATTTTTGCCTACGCTGCATGGCATGTGAGATCTTAGTTCCCCGACCAGGGATCAAACCCATGCCCCCTGCATTGGCACGCAGAGTCTTAACCACTGGACCAACCAGGGAAGTCACAGGAAGACCCATATGGAAAATATCCCATGTTCGTGGACCAGAAGACTTAATATTGTTAAGATGGCAATACTCCTTAAATTGTTCTAAATTTAGTACAAATCCTTATCAAAATCTGAGCTGGCTTCTTTGTAGAAATTTGAGAAGCTGATCTGAAAATTCATATAGAAATTCAAGGGACCCAGAGTAGCTAAAATAATCTTTAATAAAAAAAAGAAGAAGAAAACTGGGGGACTCACACTTGTAAATTTTAAAACTTACTACCAAGCTATGGCAATCAAGACAGTGACACTGGCATAAGGATATTCCAACTCAGTGGTATAGAACTGAGTCCAGAAATACACCCTTACATGCTCAATTGATTTTCAGCCAGTGTGCCAAGGTAATTCAAAGGGGAAGAAATAGTGTTTTTAACAAATGATGTTGGGACAACTGGATAGATATACAAATGAAAAAGAATGAATTTGGAACCATACCTGTCATCATACTCAAAAATTAACTCTAAATGCTTGTACACTCAAATATAAGAGTGAAACCATAAAACTTGTAGAAGAAAACATAGGAGAAAATCTCTGAGTTTGGATATTCTTAGACACCCAAAGTACAGTCCATAAATGAAACAAATTGATAATAGAGGGGGACTTCCCTGGTGGCACAGTGGATAAGACTATATGCTCCCAATGCAGGGGACCCGGGTTCGATCCTTGGTCAGGGAACTAGATCCCACATGCAAGCCGCAACTAAGAGTTCGCATGCTGCAACTAAGGAGCCTGTGAGCCGCAACTAAGGAGCTCGCCTGCCGCAACTAAGACCCAGAGCAACCAAATAAATATTTTTTAAAAATTGATAATAGGAATTCATTAAAATTAAATCATTTGTATTTACTTCAACAGACACCTAAAGAAAGTGAAAAGACAGTCCACAGGATGGGAGAAAATATTTGCAAATTACGATTTGACAATGGACTTGTATTCAGAATAGACAAAGATGTCTTAAAACTCAATGATAAACACAGAACTGACCTCACTAAAAAATTGGCAAAAGATTTGAATAGGTGTTTCTCCAAAGAAGGTATACAAATGGCCCTAACCACGTGAAAAGATACTCAGCATCACTAGTCATTAGGGAAATGCAAATCAAAACCACAAGGAATCATGACCTCACACCCACTATGATGTCTATAATTCTAAAGACAGTATAAGTGTTGGAAAAATGTTCAGAGGTAGGAACACTCATACATCACTGATTGGAAAGTAAAATGCTACAGCTACTTTGGAAAACAATTTGGCAGTTCAGTACTTGAACAGGGAAATAAAATTGTGCTATATTCATACATACAATTTTATATGTCATTCAAAATGAATGAACATGTGAAACATCTTTTTAAAATGTTGAGCAAGGCATGAAAGCATTTATACTATCTGATTCAATTTACAAAGTTCAAAGAAAGGGCAAAACTAAACTGTAAAGAGATAACATATGTGGTATAAAGAGAGGCAAGAAAAACACTACCATAAAAGTCGAAGTAATGCTTTCCTTTAATGAGAGGGAGGGGAATTAGATATTGGACATGGGTTTCTGACCTCTGGCCATGTTTTATGTTTTAGCTTGAGTGGTGAGCATTCCTGTTATAACTTTTCTATATGTGTGTTATATTTCACAATTTAAAAGGTTTATAACAAAAACGATGAATCTGTATTGTAGAAAGTATTTTATAAGGGTTGCTGGGATTTTCTTTACCATTTTGTCTTCTCCGCGAAGCTTTTCTATGTTATATGAAATTTCTACCCTAAAATTAGGCTATCCTTTATTCTTCTCAGCCTGTTTGTCAGGGTTTCGGACACTCAGTATTATAATAGAAAAAAGAATGCTGAAAATTGGGCCTTCAGTCTCCAGTTAGTAACTAACTGTTATTATTTTGACAAGAAAGATACTTCTCCTTTCTAGTCCTCGGTTTCCTCTTCTGAAACTTTAAAGTGTTTGACCGATTATTTATAAAATCTTTTTCAGCCCCAACATTATATGAAATTATAGGAGCCTCTAAACAAATCAGTTTGATAGAACAGCAGTTGGCAGCCCTGCACATGTAAAATGAAAATGCTACTTAACTCACAGGGCTATTATGAAGATTAAATAGAGTAACACATTGTATTAGTCAGGGTTTTCCAGACAAATAGAACTAATAGGATGTTCGTGCATGTGTATATACCTACATACATACATATATACTTACATACATATACATGGGGTGGGGAGTGATTGATTGATTGATTGACTGATGGGGATTGGCTCGCCAGATAGAGAGGGCTGTCAGGTCCAGAATTTTTAGGGCAGGCTGCCAGGCTGGAAATTCTAGCAGGAGTCGATGTTGCAGTTTTGACTCTGAAGGCAGTCTGGAGGGAAAATTCCTTCCTCTTTGGAGGACTTCAGTCTTTTCTCTTAAGGCCTTCAACAAATTGGATGAGGCCAGTCCACATTATAAAGGGCAATATGCTTTATTCAGTCTACAGATTTCAATGTTAATCACATCTGAAAAATACCTTCACAGCAATATCTAGACTGGAATTTGACCAAACAACTGGGCATGATAACCTAGCCAAGTTGACACATAAAATTAACCATCACACACATCTGTAACTATGTCTGAAAATACCATAATACCTTAACAACTGTTATTTGCTTTCCTCTCTGATGCACACTTTACTTGGATCTTTATTTCAAAATAAAGTTTTAAATCCACCTACACCTGTCCAGATATACCCTTAGTTCAAGGCCCCCAGCAAAGGCTCTTGAGTAAATCAATAGGATTTAGGGATGTATTTCTGAAGCACTCTTTTTTTCCCCTTATTTTAACACTTAGCACTTGTTTGTATTTTCCACTAGACTTTAGGTTCATTGAGTTGTAGGGATGGCATCTTTTTCTCCATTGTGAAACACTGCACATTTTCCAGCATATAATAGGCTCTCAAATACTTGTTGAATGAATGAATGAGCTGGAAAGATGTGGATTTTTTAAGGGATCTGCTGTTGTGTTAATATAATTTTATCATATGCTTAATTTGCTTAATGCTATCAAGAACTTTCGTTCTTCAATAAAAATGAATTGTATTGTACTGAAAAATATTCAATAAAATTTGGTAAAGATGCTTTTGTTCATGTGGATAATCAAGCTGGTAGGGACACAAAATGTTAAAGGTAAAGACCAATATGAATTAGGAAAATTTGTGCCACACATTATGTACATTTTAGTTATACTTTTAGTATTTACCTACTATGTGCCATCCTGCCACAGGGTGTTTATTCCACAGTCATCGATGATGACAAATATGGTCTATATTCTGCCTGAATTCGTAGAAGGTGTTGAAGATAGCTCCGTGTAGAAATCTAGTTAATCATTTGACTGTAAATACTTTGCTTTCTTTAAAGAAGGAAAATGCTCTTTATAAACACCCAAACACGGACAATAAACACATACATATCAGTACATACATACATACATATCTCTTTCTTCTCTTTCAATTTTCTAGGTACTTTACCCGGCCTGAATTCTCCCAGTCATGGACCAATGTCTGCTGGCTCTCCAACTAACCGATCGCCTATAGAATTTCCTGACACTGCTGATTTTCTTACTAAGCCAAGTGTTATTTTACACAGATCTCTGAGCAATGCACCCAATTCACCAGATTTTTATCAGCAACTTAGAAATTCTGATAGCAATTTATGTAACAGGTAAGTTTCCCAAGTGTTTACTATTTGTTTCAAAATATAGGTTATTTTAATAAAGTATTACCAGTTTTCTTGTTCTGTATTATAACTAGATGATTAATGAATACTACATCCTCTTCTTCATCTAGCAGTTTTTATTCTAAACAATTTTTTTTCATTTCAGTGCCATTATTCATTTCCCAGCTAAATGATCTCCATCTGAAGTGAAATATAGTGGTATTTTATCCATCATAAGATATCAGTAAATGTATGAGAATTATTTTAGTATGTACTAATTTAGTACCTATTTACAGTACCCAGTTCATATGGTGTTTGTTCTTATTTCTGCTTTGATGGTAATAAGTGTTTACCTCAGATCTCAGTGTTACTTCCAAAATATGTTATTTCCTTCATAGGGACACAGGTGCTTTCTAGGATAAAGCCTGTTAAGTTTATAGAGAGATTGGAATATTAGGATATTTTGCAGTTGGGATCTTGCAGTTAAAAAATAACCAGATTTTCTGATTGTATTTAGGTAAAAAAATTTTGCCTCACTTATCATATACATATATTTATCTGTTTTATTTTATAAGCTGTGGACATCAAATATTGAAATATGCTTCAGCATCTGAACCAGAGGCTGGTACAGACTGCCACAGGGAAAAGTCAGGTGAGACTGCAAAAGTCATGTGTGTTTAAATTTAAGAACAATTTCTTACGTTGTTTTTTAAAATGAATAAATGAATGAGTTTTTTAGTCTATCCATCTTTAAAATGAAGATTATAATCTCTTACTTCACAGAGGAGTTATTAGCAAATTGTAAATAATAGATGGTGAAAGTATTTTGAAGAGTAAAAATGTGCTGTACGAATGAATATAGTCTTATGTTACGGCTAGGGTTCATAAATAGTGAGATTAACTATATTAACCTCGAAATTTAAATTGCATAATCTTAGCTCAAAAGCGTCTGCATACATTTTTAAATAATTACACAAAGGAGTTGTTTTAAAATTTAGTTAATTATATTATTCTGAAACATACCCTCAAACAAGAAATATTGTTAGTGATAAAGTTATAGTTGTTTTATAACTTTAAAACATTGATGACTCAAGTGTCCACTAATAGTTAACTAGGTAACTCAGACCATCATATCCTCTGAAGGTAGTTAGAAAAGTTACAAGTTATTAACAATAAAAAAATCTGCTTGAAGCCACTGAAGAACTAACAAGCTCCTCAGAATTTCCAGTATAAGACCTGGAGGAGGACAGAAATCCAAGACAGTGAGTCTCAAGTTTGGGGCTACCAAAAGGGTGTTCGCTGCTTCCAGAGGGGCCAGTGACTGATAGAATGAGCAGTCCCTTCGGTAGCTTCATGGGACTAGGGAGACAAAGATTGGAATTGAAGGTTTGCCGTGGTAGGAGTAACTTGGTAAACTCAGCAGTACTGCATCCTAAGAATAAAGGTAAACCAGAAATAGGCCCTTTCAGGGGTTACAGGTGCCTATCAATCCCTTCACATACTTTAAAATTCACCCTATTATAGTGTACAATTTAATAGTTTTGGGGTTTTACATTTTAAAGGACTAAAAAACAATAAGAGGGGCTTCCCTGGTGGCGCAGTGTTTGAGAGTCCACCTGCCGATGCAGGGGACACGGGTTCATGCCCCGGTCCATGAAGATCCCACATGCCGCGGAGCGGCTGGGCCCGTGAGCCATGGCCGCTGAGCCTGCATGTCCAGAGCCTGTGCTCCGCAACGGGAGAGACCACAACAGTGAGAGGCCCACGTACCGCAAAAAAAAAACCAAAACAACAACAACAAGAAAGAAGACCAAGCCTTCACAAACTTCCAAAAAATAGGAGGGCAAACTTCCCAACTCATTCTATAAATGAGACCAGTATTACTCTGATACCATAAGCAGACAAAGGCATCACAAGAAAATAAAACTATAGACCAACATTTCCAATATCCTTAACAAAATACTAGCACACTGAATCTAGCAACAGATAAAATGTCATACCATGACCGATTGGTATTTATGCCAGGAATGCAAGGGTGGTTTAGCATTTGAAAATTAATCAATGTAATACACCCCATTAAAGAGGGGGAAAAATCACATGGTAATCTATCTAGATGCAGAAAAAGCATTTGACAAAATCCAACACTCTTTCATGATGAAAACACTCAAACCAGTAATATCAGAGAAGTCCTTCAATCTGATAAAGGGCATCTTTGAAACAAACACAGAGCTAACATCATCCTTACTAGAGGAAGATTGATGCTTTCCCCCTAAGATCAAGAATAAGAGAAGGGGGCTTCCCTGGTGGCATAGTGGTTGAGAGTCCGCCTGCTGATGCAGGGGACATGGGTTTGTGCCCCGATCCGTGAAGATCCCACATGCAGCGGAGTGGCTGGGCCTGTGAGCCATGGCCGCTGAGGCTGTGTGTCCGGAGTCTGTGCTCCACAGCAGTGAGGGGCCCGCGTACCGCAAAAAAAAAAAAAGAATAAGAGAAGGGACATGACTCTTTTTGAATTTTTTTACAATAGCCAGGACATGGAAGCAACCTAAGTGTCCATCAACAGATGAATGGATAAAGAATATGTGGCACATATATACAATAGAATATTACTCAGCCATAAAAAGAAATGAAATTGAGTTATTTGTAGTGAGGTGGATGGAACTAGAGTCTATCATACAGAGTGAAGTAAGTCAGAAAGAGAAAAACAAATACTGTATGCTAACACATATATATGGAATCTAAAAAAAAAAAAAAATGGTTCTGAAGAACCTAGGGGCAGGACAGGAATAAAGACTCAGAGTAGAGAATGGACTTGAGGACATGGGGAAGGGGAAGGGAAAGCTGAGACAAAGTGAGAGAGTGGCATGGACATATATACACTACCAAATGTAAAATAGATAGCTAGTGGGAAGCAGCCGCATAGCACAGGGAGATCAGCTCTGTGCTTTGTGACCACCTAGAGGGGTGGGATAGGGAGGGTAGGAGGGAGAAGCAAGAGGGAGGGGATACGGGGATATATGTATATGTATAGCTGATTCACTTTGTTATACAGCAGCAACTAACACAACAATGTAAAGCAATTATACTCCAATAAAGATGTTAAAAAGAAAAAAGAATAAGAGAAGGATTTTTGCTTTCAGCACTTGTATTCAATATTTTACTGGCGGTTCTAGCCAGGAAAATTTCTAGAAAGATAAAAAAATAAAGATATCTGAGTGGAAATAAATAAAACTGTCCTTATTCACAGATCATTTGTAGAAAATTTCAAACACACACACAAACACACACACGCACAATTATTAGAACCAATAAACAAGTTTAGCAAAGTCACAAGATCAAAGTACAAAATCAATTGTATTTCTCTATACCAGAAATGAACCATCAAAAATTGAAATTTAGAAAATGGTTCCATTCATAATAGTATCAAAAAGAATAAAGTTAAAATAAATTTAACAAAAGAATTAGGAGATTTATAAACTGAAATCTATAAAACGTTGTTGAGAAAACTAAAGAAAGAAAATTAAAGAAAAATTAAAGAAACTAAATAAATTGAGAGGCATAGCAAACAGATTGGGAAACTCAGTACTGTCAACAGGCTATTCTTCCAAATTGATCTGTAAATTCATTGCAATTCTGATCAAATTCCAGTAGGCTTATTTTGGTAGAAATTGACAAATTGGTGTTAAAATTTACATGGAAATACAAATGGCCTAAAATAGCCAAAACAATTTGGAAAAATAACAAATTTGGAGGACTGATACTACCTGATTTCAAAACTTATTTCCACTTCAAAAGACACCAATAAGAAAATCAAAGACAAACCACAGACTGGGAGAAAATATTTGCAAATTATACATCTGATAAAGGTCTTATAACCATGACATATAACTCTTTAACTCAATAGTAAGTCAACCAACTCAATTAAAACACAGGCAAAAGATTTTAGATATTTTGGTGAAAGACTTTTGGTGGAGGATATGAAGGATATAAATGAATGGGTAGTAAACACATGAAAAAATTATTAACATCATTAGTCATTAGGGAAATGCAGATTAATACTACAGTGAAATACCAGTAAACTCAAACCAGAATAGCTATAATCAAAAAGACAGACAATACCAAGTGTTGGCAGGGATGAAGAGAAATTGGAACTTGTGCATTGCTGATGGGATTGTAAAATGGTAAACCCACTTGGGAAAACATTTTGACAGTTTCTTTAAAAGGTAGACATGGAGACTTCCCTGGTGGTCCGGTGGTTAAGACTCTGTGCTTCCACTGTGGGGGGTGTGGGTTTGATCCCTGGTTGGGGAACTAAGATCCCACACGCAGTGTGGTGCGGCCAAAAAAAAAAAAAAACAAAACACAAACAAACAAAAAAGTTAGACATAAATTTACCGTATTACCCAGCAGTAACATGGATAAGAATTTACTCAAGAGAAAACATATGAGCACTCAAAGACAGGATTATGAATGCTTATGACATCATTATTCATGATAGTGCTAAACTGGAAAAGATCAAAATGTCCATCAACTTGTAAATGAATAAATATCATGTGGTATATCCATACAAAGGGATTCTGTTTAACAAAAGAAGAACAAACTGCTGACGCATGATACTACGTGGATAAACTTCCAAACATTATTCTAAGTGAAAAAAACTAAGCTAAAAAGATTACATATTGTTTGATTCTATTTATATGAAATTCTAGAAAAGGCAAATTTATAGAGACAATAATCAGAATAGCAGTTGCCTGGGGTGAAAATAAGGATGAACTGTAAATAGGCATAAGGGTACTTTTTGAGGTGATGAGAATGTTCTAAAACTAGACTGTCATGCATAGAGAGCAGACTTGTGGTTCCAAGAGGGAGGGGTTTGGGGGAGACATGCGGTGGGAGGTTTGGGTTAGTAAAGTATTATATATAGAATGGGTAAACAACAAGGTCCTACTGTGCAGCACAGAGAACTATATTCAATATCCTATGATAAACCATGATGGAAAAGAATATTAAAAAAGAATGTAGGACTTCCCTGGCAGTCCTGTGCTTAAGACTCCACACTTCCACTGCAGGGGGCTCGGGTTCGATCCCTGGTCAGGGAACTAAGGTTCTGCATGCCGCACAGCGTGGCCAAAAAATAAAAAAAAATAAAAATATAATGTATATATATGTATAACTGAATCACTTTGCTGTACAGCAGAAATTAACACAACATTGTAAATCAACTATACTTTAATAAAAAAAGACTTTTTTGAATCTAAAGACCAAAGCAATCAGGTGTTTTGAAGATAATGATGATAATAAAAATTCTGGGCCAAACAAACAAACAAACAAAAAAACTAGATTGTCATGAATATTGCAGAAGTCTAAATTTTCTAAAATTATGGAATTATACACTTACTCTGAGTGGGTTTTATGGCATGTAATTATACTCAATAAAGCCTTTTAAAAACCACAACAGATTATTAATTCTCACAGTTCTTTGCATTGACTGGTCTCAGCTGGGAGATTCTCACTTGAGGGCTGTCATGTAATTGCAGTCAGATATTGGCAACGGTGACAGTCATCCAAAGGATTGATTGGACTGAGTTTCCAAGATGTCTCATGTGTCTGCTGGCTATTGACCAGTCCATTTAAATATGACCTCTCTCTGGTCTTCTTCCAACATTTTGGCTGGAGGCCAAAAGAGGAGGCTATGAAAGCTGCCAGTCCAGTTAATGGCTCAACCCAGACCAGACAAAGTTGTCATTTCTGTCATATTCTGTTAATCAGAGCAGTCATGTGGCCTGTCCAGATTCCAGGGGGTTGGGAAATAAATGCTCTCTTGATGGAGCAATAAGAATACATTTCAAAAGAATGCATGTGGGATAAGAGATAGTACTGTGGACATCTTTGGAGAAGAAATTGCTATATTTATTTCATCTGTTTTTCTTATTATCTGTAAGATATAGTTATTAGGAATTTAGATCATTAAAAAGTAAATCATGTACTTCAAATGTCAACAAGTTTTGGATTGACAGCTATTTTAGAACATAATTGTAGTTAGTGCCTTAACTTACCAAGAACAGTTGAATAATCTGAATTTTTTAATTTTCTTAAAGTGTGTTCATTTGGAAACATTTGAAAAGTAATATTTTCCAAAGGGTAATACTTCCTGATCATGATCAGTTAATGATTTTTTAGTATATTCAGTGTGTTAGGTTCAGATTTGACTGACAGTTATTGATCAACTATTATGTGTACCATCTAGTAAAATAGGTGTTATTATCCACATTCTACAGGGGGAAAAGCTTGCCATTATTAAGTACAAAAATCAGGATTTAAACCTAGTTCTTCTGAAAGAACATCTATATGTGTATAACTGAGTCACTCTGCTGTACAGCAGAGATTGGCACAGCACTGTAAATCAGATAGACTTCAACAGAAATAAATAAATCAATCAACCAACCAACCAGCCTAGTTCTTCTGAAAGTCAACTCGAATGAGTACTCTTAAAAACACTTTTACTTTAAAAAATCCCTACATATTGAAAAATAAATAAATCCTAGGTCTGTGGCTTGATGAATTTTCATACATCTAATATACATATGTAGTCAGCACCCAGATCAACAAACAAAATATTACCAGCACCTCCTCTCATGCCCCACTTCCAGGAATCTCCCCCAAAGATAATGTTTATCCTGTCTTTCAATACTCATGTGTGTCAATTTTGATATGTTTTTGAACTTTTCATAAAGAGAATTGCAGAGTATATACCTTTGTGTCTGGCTTCCTTCACTTGACATTGTATTTTTAAAAATCATCCATATTGGTGCATGTGATTGTAGTTTCTTCTGTTTGCTCTGTAGTGTTCAATTGTGTGAATACACTACAGTTTGTTTATTCTACTGTTGATGTGTTTGGGGAAAGTTTCCTGGTTAGCATATTACAAATAGAATGAGTATGAATATTCTTTTGCATATGAGTGAATGAAATGTAGCTACCAATGTTGCTTCCCTTTTCCATGTAATTTGGGAAAAAGAGTATTATTAATCACATTGGTAGAGAAATAACTCACAATTCATAACATTGTTCTAATTTTTAGATGTGCCTTAATCTCATCCATAATTATGAGTTTAGAATTTTCATATCCAAAACTCAAACAATTTCAGGTATTAGAAGTAGTTTACATGAAATTGGTTTTAAAAAAATTTCCTACTGAGAGGGACTGACATTTTCTCACTTTTATAATGAATTTCCACTCTCTCTTTCATCCATGAGTAGCTATATCAGGTGAAATATTGCCTGAGCACAAGGTACCTGGGCCAACTGGTCCAGCAAGATACAACTTAACTGTGTCATTAATTTAGATTGAAGGCCAGTATGGTTCGATTTATCTGAATACTTTTTACAAATTTTTCTTATAAAACTGTTCATATAGGACATGTTTTATTCTTGTTTATTACTTTAAATACTTTTTGAAAGGTGATGAAGACAATACCGTTTTCTCAAAAGCATCATTCAACCTTACGGAAGCTCAACAAGAAGTGGAAACAGAGAACAGAGACTGCAGAAAATTACTTTGGGAAGGTGATAATCACCTAAAAGAAGAGGCACAGAATGAAGAGCAACCAAATGTAAAAGATAAATTTTCAATATGATTATGTAAAGGTGAAATATATTATTAGTTAGTACTAAGCTTATTATTTTTGCCCAGAACAAGGTTTTTAATATAATGATTTAAAAAATTTTTTTACTGAAAAGTCACTATTAACACCTGAAAATAGAGTTTCTTTAAATAAATGAGGAGTTTGGGATTAACATATACATACTACTATATATAAAATAAACAACCAGGACCTACAATATAGCACAGGAAATGCTACTCAATATCCTGTAATAACCTATATGGGAAAAGAATCTGAAAAAGAATAGATATATGTATATGTATAACTGAATCACTTTGCTGTACACCTGAAACTAACACAACAGTGTAAATCAACTATACCCCAATTAAAAACAAAAAAAAGAAAGAAAACCTTCGGTTAAAAATAATTACTTTTAAACTCATCATCCTAGAATAACTAAGTGCGTTCATTTTAAAATGGACACATTTATTTGGTTGTATAGTCAATATATTACTTTCTATGCTGATTTTTTTTCATTGTATGTGTTAAAATATGAAAAAATAAAGTATGTGCATAGTCATTAAAAACAATGAAAATAACCTACTTATAATTGTAGGGGTTTTTTTGTTCTTAATATTGTTTTTGTTCTTAAAGTTCAAAATCTAAGCTTTTTAGGAAAAAAAAATCCATCCATTTCTTTTGGGAAGTTATCCTAGTAATAAATGTCAGTTTAAGTTTCTGTCTATTATCCTTTGATACCTGTAACTTCCAAAATGAAAATAATGGATTTTAGATTTGTGTAGTGTTTTGGAAATATAGTAGTTTTATTTATAAAAGTAGTGTAAAGACCAATAAGTCTTTTGATACCTAGAAGACATGTTTATATTTGTCTGAAGATAACATTCTACAAAGAGAATTAATAGGAAGTACAGTTTATATTTGAGAATAACCATTATAGAAAATAATATTGACCATTTTTATAGTGTTTATTTATAAGTGTTCTCATTTAGCTATGGATTTAACAATATTTATAAAAAGTAAGGTTAAGTTGGTTTGGTTTTTTTTTTTTTCCCCCTACATGTACAGATTGAACAAGAAGCATCACGGGACCTGATTTTAATAGAAGATTATGACTCATTAATAGAAAATATGAGTAACTGGAATTTTCAAATTTTTGAACTTGTAGAAAACATGGGAGAGAAATCAGGAAGGATCCTCAGTCAGGTTTGTTTCAAACCCCTACTGCTTTATTATAAGTTACTTTTTTCTTGAATCTTTATAAAAAGCAAAATCTAAAGATGTATAATATTGGTTTAGGTACAAGTTCAACATTGTTCATTGAATTATTTTTTTTCACAAATGAAATTTTCAGTAGAAAATTTGAAAAGAGAAACCTGGATATATAAACCCATATATATGTAAACAAATATATTATTATGTATATAAAGTATTTCATAATTATATATATATTTATATGAAAAGTAGTTTATTTGCCCATAATAATGGGATTTAATTTACACTAAAGAAGTAATAAAGATTTACTTTTTATTAAATCTTGAGGTTGAAAAGGACATGAAAGGTGATCTAGTTCTTTGGACTGAAACTTATGCTTCGTCGTTTTCACCGGTCCTCCCTGTGCTTTACCCAAGGCCAAATGGTCCATTTCATGCTAGAACCATGGAAAAATATTTCCATTTTACCTCCCAGACTCAAAGTTCTTCCTGGTGGGTCCACACAGCAGCATCAGATTAACCTTCCTGAAATACTACTCTCATTAACTCCAAAGCATCTTATTTATGAAATGTGAGAACATAAAGATAAATTATGTGGAGGACACACAATTTATCACATTGAATTCTTTAGGGACAGAAATGTGATGAATATATTGTTCTGACTTCTTTTAACACCTAGGACTAGAATAGAATACAATTCATATGCCTTTCAATAAATTGTGAATGAAAAGCTAAAGGGAAGAGTGGAAAAATTTCAAAACTGGGACATGATATTATAATCATTCTTTGGTTTTCAAGGGCTTTAGGGCAGTATCTTCCTTTTTCATATTTCGGAAAGAATTCACTATAGGGAAGTTTTTAATAAATTACTTAAGTTAAAGGCATATACATGGTTAACTTTCCCAAATGCAAATCACAAAAACATATTCAACTAGAAATAGAAATTCCGATTTTTAAAGCGAACTTTCTTTTCATTAACATGTAGGTTATGTATACCCTATTTCAAGACACTGGCTTATTGGAGATATTTAAAATTCCTACTCTACAATTCATGAACTACTTTCGTGCATTAGAAAATGGTTATCGAGACATTCCTTGTAAGTATTAAAATATATGATTTAAGTTGAAATAATACTGGTTTGAAATTCTTTATAAATTCCCTTCAGATAGTCCCTTAAACACTTTTAAAATTGCATGTTTGGAAAAGTTGGAAGATAGTAATTTACAAAGAAAATCTACATCCTCCTACCCAGAGTTAACTGACTACTGTTAACATTTTGGTAAGGGACTTCCTTGGAGGATTGGTGGTTAATACTCCATGCTCCCAATGCACCGGGTGTGGTTTCAATGCCCCGTCAGGGAACTAAGATCCCACAGGCCATGCGGTGCAGCCAAAAAATTAAAAACAAAACCCAAAAAAACCCACTTTGGTATATATCCTTCAAGACCTTTTCTTATACGTACTTATTTTTTATGAAGTGAATCGTAATACCTAGTTATAATCTGCTTTTTCATGAAATATAGTATGCATCTTTCTATGTTAACAATTATTCATATGAGTACCTTTTCAAATGTTTGGTAATTTTAAGTCATGAGTTTCATAAATTTCTTTACTTTAAAATGTTTAAAATTTATCCATAGAATTCGTTTTTTAACTGTGTCCTGATTTGTGGAATAATTTTGTTTGTTTTTTGGCCACATGGCTTGTGGGATCTTAGTTCCCCGACCAGGGATTGACCTTGGTCCTCGGCAGTGAGAGCAAGGAGTTCTAACCACTGGACCGCCAGGGAATTCCCTGTGGAATAATTTTTAATGGCTACTTGATTTTATGATACAATAGAATTTTAATTTTATATTAGGAAAAGGTAGAATTTTATGTGTTGATCATTCTACAGTTTACCTCCAAGTGGACACACTTTTGGGAAATATAGAGAGAACAAATTATTCTTAAATTGGCCTCATAAATAATGGTGATGCTTAATAATTTAATGTGTGTTATATGTACTATAATTACCACTTACAAAGTAGGCATTTTGAAAAGTGGCTGAATTTTATAAATGGAATAAAGTGATATTTTAAGGTGGACTTCAAGGGCAGGGGGATTGAAAAAAGAAAGCCATGGTGGGGAGTTTTCACGGTCACCTCCAATTAGGATATATTGGTTAAGACAAGAGTCTCTGGGGAATTCCCCGGCAGTCCATTGGTTAGGACTCTGTGTTTCCACTGCAGGGGGCACAGGTTTGATCCCTGGTCAGGGAACTAAGATCCCACGCACCCACGTGCCGTGCTGAGCAGCCAAAAAAAACAAAGTCACTGGGACCTAACTTTTCTAAATTTTAGGTTCCAAATTTATAAATGGGAATAACAATAGTACCTACCCCATAGGTAGTGATAATAATGTAAAGCACATATCAAAATTCATGGCACATAGTAAATGGTCAATAAAAGGTCATGATTGTATTAATAATAAGCTCCTAGTGGGTTGACATCATATCTATAGTCTAAACATTCAGTATTGTATCATTTGCTAATGCTACATGGAAGGTACACATTAAATATTTGTTGAAACATCAGCTGTGACTATAATCATTAGATTCACAAAGGTTATCTCATTTAATCTTTGTTGGAAAGGTTGTATTATCTACCTTTTACAGGTGAGAAGTAAAAATTCAGAAGGATCTTTTCCAAGATCATAAATCTGGAAATAGCAAAACTGGGTTTCACTTGTAGGTCTTGCCTTTTCACATAGTGGTATTTCAGTAAACCAGTGTTTTATTGATCATATACTACACGTCAGACACTATTCTGGATGTTTATATAAAGGTATATACCTTTTAACATGTAATCCTTATAGCAGGCCTGAGAGAGTTATTTCTTATCTGGCGAGGTGGCTGTCCAAGTATCCAGAATTTTTAACTGTTCTATGTGCCTTTGTGCAGAAATTGTTTTGTTTGCAAACATGGGTCTCCATAACCGAGACACTATTTGCATATTTTTAAGTTAAATTTTTTTTTTACATCTTTATTGGAGTATAATTACTTTACAATGGTGTGTTAGTTTCTGCTTTATAACAAAGTGAATCAGTTATACATATATGTATGTTCCCATATCTCTTCCCCCTTGCGTCTCCCTCCCTCCCACCCTCCCTATCCCACCCCTCTAGGTGGTCACAAAACACCGAACTGATCTCCCTGTGCTATGCGGCTGCTTCCCACTAGCTATCTATTTTACGTTTGGTAGTGTATATATGTCCATGCCACTCTCTCACTTTGTCACAGCTTACCCTTCCCCCTCCCCATATCCTCAAGTCCATTCTCTAGTAGGTCTGTGTCTTTATTCCTGTTTTACCCCTAGGTTCTTCATGACATTTTTTTTTTCTTAAATTCCATATATATGTGTTAGCATACGGTATTTGTCTTTCTCTTTCTGACTTACTTCACTCTGTATGACAGACTCTAGGTCTATCCACCTCATTACAAATAGCTCAATTTCATTTCTTTTTATGGCTGAGTAATATTCCATTGTATATATGTGCCACATCTTCTTTATCCATTCATCCGATGATGGACACTTAGGTTGTTTCCATCTCCTGCCTATTGTAAATAGAGCTGCAATGAACATTTTGGTACATGACTCTTTTTGAATTATGGTTTTCTCAGGGTATATGCCCAGTAGTGGGATTGCTGGGTCTTATGGTAGTTCTATTTGTAGTTTTTTTAAGGAATTTTAAAAGTCACAAAAAGCAACTGTAGGGATTTCCCTGGCACTTTCACTGCAGGGACCCACCCTAGTTTGGGAACTAAGATCCCACAAGCCTCGCAGACTGGCCAGAAAAAAAAAAAAAGCAACCTTAAGTAAATTAGCCCTGGTAATGCTGCCTTTTCTTTGACCCCTCTAATATGTTTTCATAGTATATGTGAAAGTTTTTAAAAGAAAGCTTTTTAACACATCAATAAACTTTTACAAAAGAAGATGAAACAAAAACATAATTGTTGGAAATTATTCTAAGCCATATATTTTATTTATGAGGATACAGTATGACTAGAAAGTACTTTTTAAAATGTCCTATGTTAAAAATAACAGAATGATCATTTTTATAAAACATTTTGGTGACTTTAGATCACAATCGTATACATGCCACAGATGTCCTACATGCTGTTTGGTATCTGACAACACGGCCAATTCCTGGTTTACAGCAGATCCACAATGATCATGGAGCGGGAAATGAAACAGGTACTTCCTTCTATAAATCTTTCCTTTAATTATTTGATTAGGAATAATAAATCATACTATCTCATTTCATTATCTCTGTTCTCTTAAAAGTTTTATTAAGTAAACTTTGGTATATATAAAGGACTATGTAAATTTTGAAGAATAATGACATGCAAATTAGGAAACCCACTACCCGTCTTAAAAGTGAGGTTAAGATTCAGTACTACTCAACCTACCATGTTTCTTTTCTGTGTCCCACAGTGCTGCCTTCTTCACTGAGGTAGCCAGTATCCTGAATATTATGATAATCATTTATTTGCTTTTCTTTCAATTCTTAGTTTTTTTGTTTTAGGTGTATCATGTAAATTTAAAATATATGACATTCCTAACAAAAGTGGACATGTTTAAAATCTTCATATAAGTATTTAAATAATAATATTAAAGAACTTGTTAACAGTCAAATTTTGTTTCCTCATAAATGTAACTATTTATACAAATGTAATGAATTATAACATTCATGGCTCTCTCATTCTAGTTTATAAAAGAGGGGAGACGGGAATTACCTGGTGGTCTAGTGGTTAGGATCCGGCACTTTCACTGCTGTGGCCTGGGTTCAATCCCTGGTGAGGGAACTGAGATCCCAGAAGCTGTGTGGCCAAAATTTTTAAAAATTAAAAAAAAAGAGGAGAAATGCTCTAATAAAATACACACATGCACACACACACACACACACACAAATCAGGACAGAATTTACGTAGTTACAAATGCCTGAGAAATATTACCATACTAATCAGTGTAAATGTGATATAGTCTTAGCCACTGCTTTACATTCTTTGGTGGTTTAAAGTACTGCCATTGTTTGATGGATTTGCCTTATGTCACTGGTTCATTTTTGTCTGCCATCCATACTCTTTTGTAGAGCTCTTCCTTCCTTCCAGTAGTTCCGTGCTTCCATCAGAGATCACTTTCTTCAGCCTTTTTGTTTGCAGATGTATTTTTTTAAATTTTTATTTATTTATTTATTTTGGCTGCATTGGGTCTTCATTGCTGCACGCTGGCTTCCTCTTGTTGGGGCAAGCAGGGGCTACTCTTTGTTGTGGTGCACGGGCTTCTCATTGCAGTGGCTTCTCTTGTTGCGGAGCACAGGCTCTAGCCGTGCGGGCTTCAGCAGTTGTGGCACGTGGGCTCAGTAGTTGCGGCTCGCGGGCTCTAGAGCGCAGGCTCGGTAGTTGTGGCGCATGGGCTTAGTTGCTCCACAGCATGTGGGATCTTCCCAGACCAGGGCTCAAACCCGTGTGCCCTGCATTGGCAGGTGGATTCTTAACCACTGTGCCACCAGGCAAGTCCGTATAGATGTATTTATTTTGTCTTAGAATAATGTTTTCTTATTTCAGCACATTTGTAGATACCTCTGGGTTCATCTTCTGACTTCTATAGTTTCTGTTGACAAATCAGCCATAAGTCTTTTTTCTCCTTGAAAGTATTATGTCCCTTTTCTCTTTGCTATTGGTTTTTAACATTTTGACTATGATGCACTCAGATGATATTCTTTGTATTCATCCTATTTGGGGTTCACTGAACTTCTTGAATATATTGATTAATATCTTTTGTTTTCTATCACACTCTTCAAAATTCTTCCAGCCTTCTCCCACTGCCCAATTCCAAAGCTGTTTTCACATTTTTTAGGTATTTGTTACAGCAACACCCTACTTCCGAGTGCCAAAATCTGTATTAGTTTTCTATTGCTGCTGTAACAAATTACCACAGACTTAGTGGCTTAAAACAATACAAATTTGGGGAATTCCATGGCAGTCCAGTGTTTAAGACTCTGCACTCCCAGTGCAGGGGGCATGAGTTCCTACATGCCACATGGTGTGGAATGTTTCCTTGCCCCCTCCAACTTCTACAAGCCACCTGCATTCCATGGCTCATGGCCCCTTCTTCAAAGACATCAGCGTTGTATCTTCAAGTCTGTCTCAGACCCTGACCTTTTCATCCTTCAAAAGAATTAGCAAAAAGTGGTACAGCTACAATGTTGGTTTTCTGTCCAGAGTACACATTCCTGACAGTGCATCTCCTGCTTTTAATATTTTTTGCAGTCTGAACAGGTTGAGAATTTCCCAAATTATCAAGTCCTGGACCCGTTTTGCTTAACAGTTCTCCCTCATTTTTCTCTTGCATTTTATTTCAAACAGTAAGAAACCTGGCTATATATCTTTAATACTTTCCTTGGAAATCTCCTCAGCTAAATATCTAAGGTCATTGTTTACAAGTTTTTTATTCCACATACGCAGCACACAATTCGACTAAGCTTTCTGCTGCTATATTGACAATGATCCTCTTTCCTCTAGTTTCCAATTATGGGTTCCTCTGAGCCCTCACTGGCAGTGCCCTTGACAGCAATTTTCTACCACCAGCCTGTTCAAGATGATTTAAGTATTCCCTAAGGCAATGCCTGTTTTCTCTTCCATGCACTTTACTTCCTCCTGAGTTCTTACTAGCAATGCTATGAGTCCTTATACACAATATTATGGAATCAAGTATGTGTAGAAGACAAAGCTTCCTTTGGGAGACCAAGTAGCTGTTGAAATGTAAAATTGTGGTAGAAACAAAGACTATAAGGACTATGGGATGTGCTGCCTTATTCTGATTGCAATGGAGAATTAATAGAAAAAAAATGATGACACCAAAAGTATAAGCAACAAAAGCAAAAATAAACAAGTGTGACTACATCAAACTAAAAAGCTTCTACACAGCAAAGGAAACAATTTAAAAAATGAAAATGCAACCTACAGAATGGGAGAAAATATTTGCAAATCATATACTGGGTAAGGGGTTAATATCCAAAATACATAAAGAACTTGTACAACTCAATAACCAAAAAACAATCCAATTTTTAAAAATGGGCAGAGAAACAAAATAGACACCCAAATGGCCAACAGGTACATGAAAAGGTACTCAGCCTCACTAATCATCAGGGAAATGTAAATCAAAACCACAATGGGAGGCTTCCCTGGTGGCGCAGTGGTTGAGTCCACCTGCCGATGCAGGGGACGCGGGTTCGTGCCCCAGTCCAGAAAGATCCCACATGCTGCAGAGCGGCTTGGCCCGTGAGCCATGGCCACTGAGCCTGCGCGTCCAGAGCCTGTGCTCCGCAACGGGAGAGGCCACAACAGTGAGAGGCCCGCGTACTGCCAAAAAAAAAACCACAATGGGATATCACCTCACACTTGTTAGAATGGCTGTCATCAAGAAGGCAAGAGGTAAGTCTTGGGCAGGATGTGGATATAAGGGAACACTTGTGCACTGTTGAAGGGAAGGTAAATTGGTTCAGCCACTGTGAAAACAGTATGGAGATTTTGATTCCTCAAAAAAATAAAAATAGAACTATCATATGAAGTAGCAATTTCTGGGTATATATCCAAAGGAAATGGAAACAGAAGTTTAAAGAGATATACACACTCCCATGTTTATTGCATCATTATTCACAATAGCCAAGACATGGAAATAACTTGTCTGTCAATGGATGAATGGATAAAGAATGTGTGTGTGTGTGTGTGTGTGTGTGTGTATACACACACAATGGAATATTATTCAGCCATGAGAAAGAAGGAAATCCTGCCATTTTCAACAACACGGATGGGCTTGAGGGCATTATTATGCTAAATGAAATGTCAGACAAATACTTTACGATATCACTTATGTATGGAATCTAAAAATGTTGAACTTGTAAAAACAGGCCATGCGTGAGGGAATTGGTGATATGTTGTTTAAGGGTACAAACTTGGAACTAGTAGATAAACAAGTTCTGGAGAGCTAATGCACAGCATAACGATTACAGTCAACAGTACTATATTATAAAGCTCAAAGTTGCTGAGAGACTAGATCTTAATTGTTCTCACCACAAAAAAGAAATGATAGTTATGTGGTGTAGTGAGGTGTTAGCTAATGCTCCAGGGGGTAATCATACTGCAGTATACAAATGTATCAAATCAACACCTTGTATACCTTAAATTTACACAGTGCTTTGTGTCAATTATATTTCAATAAAAAAAAAAGAAATGAAATGACACGTTTAGAGTTTAAATGAATGGTTAGAGAACCAGATAGCTAAAAGATTCCTTCATTTTTATAGTAGTAGGATCATAACTACTGAAAACATAATCCAAAGTCTGATCCTGAAGTTACCTGAAATACAATTCAAGTTGAGTTCATGGCCTCACTAAGCCTCTTACGTTAGAACTACAGTATCAATTGGGAAAGAAAGGACCCTGATAACTAACTGGAAGGGGAATATTTGAGTAGATTTCAGTAAATCTGATTACCCTGAACCCCTCAAATCTTGCTGTACCTCCCTGCTGAGAAACAATCATTTCTCCTTGTGTTGGTTGCCTGAAGACCTTGTAACTACCTCACCTGAGATTCTTGACTTGTAGGGGAATGTTATTTCACCTCTAAATCCAGTCCCACCACCTCTCATTTCTTTGTGATCCATAATTAAACTCATATCTGCCAGGAGCTAAGTCTGAACACCAGAATAATTTCCTAAATTTATATTGGCAGAAACCTGAGGAACATATGTGGGAATGGATTTAAAGTGTTACAGCAAGGGAAAGGAAGGTAATGGTTGATCATTCTGAACTTATTGATATAGGTGTACCTATTAGAGATTCTGGATTCAGGGCATTAGCTTGAGTGTTCGGCAGTGGCCCGAACAGTTTGCTCCATTCATTGTCTGAAATCTAGGCATGAAGAGAAATTGAGGTGTCACAATTTCCTGATATACTGTGGAGGAAGGAATTCAAAGGCTTACACTGATAGGATATTGAAATGGATTGGTCATGTAGTCTTCCCACCCATACCTAACCATGTCCCTCAGAAGTGTCCCCCTTCATCAGTGTTGAGAAATACATTGCAACGCTAACTCCTGGCCCACCAATCATAGTAGGGGCTTACGGAATTTAGATGATAAAAGGACTTTCGGCCTGGGTCCATCTCATAGTGGTAGTTCCCTGAACCCA